GTAGAGCATAATTCCAGTGTAGGTTTTTCTAAAACATGTATCACTCAGTGTAGTGGTATTATTTGCTGATGACATTTCTAGCAGAATTCACTATGCATACACACCCAACTTTTCAGTCTAGTTTTATAGATCTATTGTTTTCATTTTCTGATTTAATTGGTAGTAAAATGTTTCGCATATCGCGGGTCGGTGTTGCGTCATTTTTATGTTGTGTCAGGTGTCGATTTGACAAACAAAGCTTAAGTTATTAATCTCTCTGTATTTGCCCAATTTTTGTAATTATAAAATTAGGTTAAATATAATGCCAGCATGTTAGTTTCATAATGACTAAATCAGACTCGGCTTTCAAATCCTTCAAGGACATTCGTAACAATTATGGTCTGAATACTTATAATTTTTAAAATTGTCCCTTTATCCCATTCTACTTTGTAATGTGTGACAGCATGCATACCTATAATTGAGCTCTTTTCTAGTTCTCTCATCACATAAGGGTTTACCATTCTGTTTTTAACTAGATTTCTGTGTTCTGCTAGCTTGATCTCACACTCATCACATGGAATTCGGTAGACTAAACCGTTTTGCTCAGTAGGTAAGATAGGATCCTTTAACCGCCAGAGTTTGTCTCTAAGTTGGTTTATAGGCTTCAGTGTCACTTTAATACTGGATTTATTAGGCAACCTACCTGCTTGATATCACTTCATATCATAAAAGTATGGAAGTCTTAAAATCCTTCTCCGTGGTTTCATTGCTTAAAACTTTTGAGTCTGTAATTATGTTACTCGTAGTATTTTTTCAGCTCCTCCTTATATGTTTCTGTATAAACTCATATTTTTCAACCAGAAACTCATTAGTTGATATAATCTGGTTCACTCATGAACTCAAAAAAGATAAAGGAGAACTAACTACCCTGAACTACAAAATCAGATGAAGGCAAGATACAAGTAAAGATATTAACGTCTAAAGAATGTCTTCATAGTCCAACTGAAAACTAGACTTCATGTTATCGTACCCAATATCAGTGAAGGCAAGATTAATCAAAAAACAAGATAACAGCACATGATGACTGCTTAATAAGGTAGACAATCTCTGTCGAGAAATGAAAACCTAGGCCGGGTAACTAGTTCACAAGTTACTAGTCGATACTAAGCCCGATAAAGAGGGGAGGTTAGGCATAAAGCCAGCAACACTACCCCGGAAAACCAACTTATTCCTCCATGAAATCAGGGAGGCGAAATGACGCCGGTCGGTGGAAGCCACTGGAGAAAACATTGGAGATATAATTCACGAAGGAAACGCCACATGCCAAGTGGTCCACAATGGAAAGCGTTCGGGAAGCCAATTCGCCGATGTGTCTTCTCTCGATTAAAGCAAAAGTAAGGATGGGGAAATAGAATGTCCTCACAATGTTTGAGGCTGACTGGCAAGGCTGTCCAGATTGCCAAAGAGATGAGGAGGTATAGCAGTGAAGTGTTAGGAATCTGCGAAAACAGATGGAATGGAAGTGGACTCCCTCAACTGTCAACTGGAGAGTCAATAATCTACTCCGATATTGTCACCCAGACGACAACCACGAGCACACTGAGTTTTGGAGTGGATATCATGATGTCCCTGAGAGCATCGAAGGCTCTCATGCAGTGGCAACCAATCTCCTCCAGCATCAGGATCATGACAGTAAGGTTCAACGCAAAAGGAAGGAGAGTCACAATCGTACAATGCTATGCTATGCTATGCTATGCTACGCTACGCTACGCACCTACAAATAATGCAGATCAAGAGGAGAAGGATTAATTCTACAGACAACTGCAATCAGTAATGGACAAGACTACACTCCAGTTGACGACATCAAAATTCTAATAGATGACATGAATGCCAAACTGGGAGCGGACAATACAGGAAGAGAACTCATCATGCGCCGAGAAGCACTCGGTGAAATGAGTGACAATGGAGAACTGTTTGCAGACTTCTGGGCATTCAACGATTTGGTGATTGGAGACAGTGTGTACAAACACAAGTATATTCACAAAGCGACATGGAGTTGATTTCACCAGAAACCAGGACACACTACACTAAAAATCAGATCGACTTCATCTCAATGTGAAGAAAGTGGAGACGCAGTCTACTGGACACAAGATCACGAAGACGAGCAGATGTAGCACCACACCACTCACCATCGAGTGCAAGGAACCTTCCAAATCTAGTTGGAAGCCTTCAGAGAAGTTGGTGATAGACTACAGTTCAAGTTCAACACCCGGAACAGAAACTAACTGAAGGACGAAACTACAAAAGAAATCTTCACGGCAGCCATCAGAACAAAATGCGAGACATTGAGCAACATCCCTGAAGGATTGGGTGTGGAAGAACACTGGAACTCTTTGAAAGCTATGTGGAATGAAACCTGCATAACCTTATTGGGAAGGAAGAGGAAAGAAGATAAGGAATGGATCTCGATGGATACATGGAAGCCGATAGAGCAGGGAGAGGAAGATGGTGAAACAGAAGACGGACCAGTGTAATTTAGTGCAGTGCAGTGCAGTGCAAGGATGAACATCGAAAAAAGGAACTGAACACATCCTATAAAACACTACATTGGAGAAAGAAGTGAAGACACACTGACAAGTGAAGCAGAACACGAAGCATGTAGGAGAGTCCTGACGACACTACATCAAATAACCAGGTTACTATCCGGGAAGAGATCAACGCGGATGAAACCAATGAAGGATAGTGAAGGGAACTTAGTTAACAAGGAGGAGAAACAAAGGAAACAATGGGCCGACCATTTGAATCGACCACCATCACCACCTGCAACTCGTCCAGAAATACCACCAGCAGCCCAGCCACTGAACTATCAGTGAACACAAATCCTCCAACAAAAGCCGAAATCCTGAACACCATACAGTTGCTGAAATCCGGGAAAGCAACAGGACCAGATGGAATTCCGACAGAAGCACTGAAAACAGATACAGGGACAACAGTGGACATGCTCACACCACTATTGCAGAAGGTCTGGGAGAAAGAGAGAAAAGGTACCTGGTGATTAGAAGAAGGCTACCTTGTCAAACTCCCAAAGAAAAGAGACCTAAGTCTTTGCAAGAACTGGCGCGGAATCATGCTCCTATCCACCCCAAGCAAAATATTAAGCCGCATCATCCTGGAGAGACTAAAGGATGCGCTGGATTCAAAACTGCGACCGGGACAGGCTGGCTGGCTGGCTGACTGGCTGGCTGGCTGGCTGGCTGGCTGACTGGCTGGCTGGCTGGCTGGCTGGCTGGCTGGCTGGCTGGCTGGCTTCAGGAAGAACAAATCATGTGCGGACGAACTTGCAACGCTACGCCACGCATCATCATACAACAGAGCGTAGAATGGCAGTCAACTCTCTACCTCAACTTCATCGCTGTTGAAAAGGCTGAGAAATAATTTGTCAGGCAACTGCTTCAACACTACGGAATACCACAAACCTTTATCAACCTCATTCAACAACTATATGAAGGCGCGACATGCCAAGTGGTCCACAATGGAAAGCTCAATGACGCCTTTTGAAGTGAAGACAGTAGTAAGATAAGGTCGCAGCCTACTTACACCCATGATCTTCGTGATTGTGGTCTACTGCACTGGATCATGCAACAAACTGTGAGTAGCTGTGTGAAGATGGGCATACGCTGTTTGACCGATCAAAAGACCCCAGAAGATTTGGATTTCGCCAACGATGATGATTTATGTCTAATATCGCACAAACTCGAAGATCTACAGGCGAAAACTAAGAAGTTGACAGGAGAGGCAGTGAAGACGGGACTTCCTTCAGGTGAACTTAGAGAAGACGGGGGTGATGAAGATACCCAACCAACATCAACAGCATCAACAACAAGCACCAATAACCATGAACGGGAGAAACCTGAAGGAAGTAGTCTCTTTCACCTACCTACCTACCTACCTACCTACCTACCTACCTACCTACCTACCTACCTACCTACCTACCTACCTACCTACCTACCTACCTACCTACCTACCTACCTACCTACCTACCTACCTACCTACCTACCTACCTACCTACCTACCTACCTACCTACCTACCTACCTACCTACCTACCTACCTACCTACCTACCTACCTACCTACCTACCTACCTACCTACCTACCTACCTACCTACCTACCTACCTACCTACCTACCTACCTACCTACCTACCTACCTACCTACCTACCTACCTACCTACCTACCTACCTACCTACCTACCTACCTACCTACCTACCTACCTACCTACCTACCTACCTACCTACCTACCTACCTACCTACCTACCTACCTACCTACCTACCTACCTACCTACCTACCTACCTACCTACCTACCTACCTACCTACCTACCTACCTACCTACCTACCTACCTACCTACCTACCTACCTACCTACCTACCTACCTACCTACCTACCTACCTACCTACCTACCTACCTACCTACCTACCTACCTACCTACCTACCTACCTACCTACCTACCTACCTACCTACCTACCTACCTACCTACCTACCTACCTACCTACCTACCTACTTACCTACCTACCTACCTACCTACCTACCTACCTACCTACCTACCTACCTACCTACCTACCTACTTACCTACCTACCTACCTACCTACCTACCTACCTACCTACCTACCTACCTACCTACCTACCTACCTACCTACCTACCTACCTACCTACCTATCTGCCTACCTACCTACCTACCTACCTACGTGAGGGTGAAATGGAGGAGATCATGTGAGGAGGATATATGAGCTTGTGGGCAGTCGTGGAGCTAGGTTCAAAAGACTTCAGAGAACAGAGTGAAATGGAGACGTGCTACTGAATACGTATGGTCCAGTAGTTGGAACCGATAGGACTATTTTTGCTATTAACTGTTCTAATAATGCCCTACTACTACTATTTTCGTAACTGCCAACAATTTCTATCTTCCCTTGGGTACTCATTCTTTCTTCTTCCTCTTTGTTCTTGTTTTCCTCTCTATATGATATTTTTTTCTTTACATTTACTATTGATGAGGGATTTTCGTGTTACCTATTGCCATTATCATTATGTTTAGCGTCAAGATTCATTTCTCACTTTTATTATTATGTTAATGAACTGGTGTTTTTTGGTTGATTGAATCTGAGGTGCATTTTGACTATAGATAGCACCACTGACTCTACTGCAGTATTCATACGAAAGCACGAAGTTAGTGCGACAAATTTATTTGACTCGTATTATTTCCCATTTCTAATGACCTTCATTTTTTTTTTGGAACGGTTATTAGTAATAAACTAATCAGTATTTTGCATTGTGAAGTTAATGTCAATGACTTACAATTTATGTACGCCTTTTGTTATGTGTTGTAAAGGTCTATTAGTGACTTTGTCTCTGTGATCTATAAAAAGAAATTCTCTGTAGGTTACTGTTGTGTTAAAAGATTTGGTGCATATTCTAGACTGAGTTTTGTTTGTTTTTTATTTGCGATAGTAGAGGTAGGTTATAAAGTTAAGCTGGATTAAAAAAGGAAAAGGTTGGAGGCAAATTCTTACACTTAGTTTGAATTTCATAAAAAGTCACTTAGGAAAATCAGAAAACCGGTCATCTTACCATACATAAAGCATATTAGAGATGACAATAAGACTACTACCGTTTGGAATTGGTATGGCTCATAAACCAATTAATTCTCTTCAATATATTATGCGAATCTAAAGATACAGCAACCAAAGAAGACTAACCAGTTGTGTTTACAAAATCAACTGCAGCAACTGTAGTCATAACTGTACTTCGCAAAGTGATCGCCGCCTTCACCGTTTACATAAACACCAGTTAACTAGTAAGCATCACGGCCTTTTATTGCTCATTTCTATGCATATGGATAACTGTGGATATGAATTCAATTTTGACAAGATAGAAACCTTTGATGGAGGAAACACAAAGAATACCAGGAAATTACTAGAAGCTTGGTATTCAGGCCACTCAACGATCAACAGATTTGTAAACATAGACCCAATCTATCCAGCTGTACGAAAAATGATAATAGTTAGGTCAGGTAGAGGTAAAGCCAACAGGAAAATCTATACAGTCAATGGTACAACAATCGAAGGAACGAACGCTTTCGTCAGCGTAAGCTACTCAATCACTCACAAAGAAATCCCGATAATTCACTTCATTATTGAAGTGGGGGTGTTGTGTAGAAGGAGAACGAAAGCCTCCCTATTAAACTATTTACATTAGAGAATTTAGTACAATTAAGAATTTCCCACAGAAAAGATATCAGTTTAGGAAGAACATTAACACTAATTTGTTGGTTATAAAAGTTGAATTAGCTGATGTTCACTTCACTTTGATTCTTTTACCTAAACGTAGTCATTCATAACAATTTATTTCATAAAAGTGACTTATGCAGCATTAATTTTTTCAAATAGTCTACAGTACGGTTTGAAATAAACTAGGAAACTGACGGAAACCAGAAGGCACTGAGGACTAATCCTAATATGGAACTGGTTAGCACTTTTCACCCGTGAAACTACCAGTAATTAATCACACTACCGCCAGTAGCAGTAACAGGAAAATCATCTCGAAACGATTCACCGTTCAGTATTTGGTTATTACTCACTCGTTTTATCAGAGGTTTTGCACCAGTGGCAGAAATCTCTGGCACCTGTAAAAATACTACTTTTCTCTATTTTGAACCAAAAGAATTAAAGAGGAAGTTACTAAGTGACGCAACAACTGCCGTTTACTTGCATTGTAGTGTTTTACAGGCGTTCATCCGTCCTTGTCTGATTTAAATAAGACACCCCTGTTATCAATTATCAAGCGTGGGTAGAAATTATTATTATTATTTGTCCCTTGGGTGCCTCCTACTGAAACATACGTCTTCAGTAGCACGTCTCCATTTCACTCTGTTCTCTGAAGTCTTTTGAACCTAGCTCCACGACTGCCCACAAGCTCTCATTTCCTCCTCACACGATCTCCTCCATTTCACCCTCAGACACCCAACTCGTCGCTTCCCATTTGGTTTCCACTCGAGAGCCTGGTCTGGTGCGTGATGTCTCCAAACGGTCTTCTCAGTGCATGTCCTATCCAACTCATCTCCACTTTCTTCTACATATTTGTTGGGCGATGGCTTCTTGGTTGGTTCGTTGCCAACCAGAGTGAGTTCCTTGTTGCTTATTCTTTCTGGCCTTCTCATCTGAGCTTCAGTAACGAGCCAGCGTAGGCAGTTGTTGATGAATGTCTGTAGTTTGTTGGAAATGCTTTTCGTAACGCGCAAAGTCTCTGAACCGTCACATAGAAGCACTGACTTGACTAGTTTAGTGTTGAAAATCTGCATCTTGTTCTTTATGCTGAGTGGAGTGGAGTGCAGTAGACCTCCATACTGATCTCCACAGATTAATGAAGCACTGTCTTACTGTCTTTCCGACGCTGGTTTTGACATCCTCGTCTGTGCCTGTGCAGCCTGTAGTAGAAACGATACTGCCTAGGTAGGTGAAAGAGACTATTTCCTTCAGGTTTCTCCCGTTCATGGTTATTGGTGCTTGTTGTTGGTGCTGTTGATGTTGGTTGGGTATCTTCATCACCCCCGTCTTCTCTAAGTTCACCTGAAGGAAGTCCCGTCTTCACTGCCTCTCCTGTCAACTTCTTAGTTTTCGCCTGTAGATCTTCGAGTTTGTGCGATATTAGACATAAATCATCATCGTTGGCGAAATCCAAATCTTCTGGGTCTTTTGATCGGTCAAACAGCGTATGCCCATCTTCACACAGCTACTCACAGTTTGTTGCATGATCCAGTGCAGTAGACCACAATCACGAAGATCATGGGTGTAAGTAGGCTGCGACCTTATCTTACTACTGTCTTCACTTCAAAAGGCGTCATTGAGCTTTCTGTTGTGAATTACTTAGCATGTGGCGTGGATAGCAAACATCAAATGAATTTCATCTTCATTCTAATCTGCCTAACTTCTGCATCATTGAAGTGATATTTTCGTGATATATTTATGTGCAATCAATAAAATTGTTATTGCTTCTAATCTGTTGCAGATATCATTCGTAATTCTTCACATTATATTCGGGATTTCTATCCGTTCAAACGTAACCATACACCTAAATTACGTTTACGTCAGTTCGACAAGAAGCGTGGCATGTATCTGCTTCAAGAAAATGCACTCAATTTGAAGTTTCAAGAAATCGGCAAGGTGCTCTTCACGCTGTCAGTACTTCGATGTACACCGACAACACAGGTAACTGCAGCGCATTGTGTTGATTTATTAAATTGAGTTCAGCGGTAACACTCGATTATGTAAGACACTGTACAATTTTACTAATTTCAAATCGTTTTGCAGTAGTTGTATCCAAGTTTCTTCACTAGCTTTCCTATAGATAGATAATATAGAAAATTCACATCTCAACATTTCCTTGTCGATGCAGTACTATAAGTTGAATGTCGTCCTTATTCATAAATAACAGTAGACTATCAGTACAGGAGAGTATACAACACGTAGTGGTAATCGAAGTATCAAAGCATTCCAGCTATTAATCTTTTAAATAGTGAACATAAGATTATTTCAGTAAATTTTTACAAGTACACGACTAATGAATTCAGTCACAAATGAATGAAGTGGCAATCCAGTGTTTAGATCACTATGAAATAGCCATCAACATCTGCAACAGAACTTTTTGTTATAAATGGAACTTCATGATTTTGGATAGGGGTTTTCAATGGTGACCTGGTTGACATTGTAGTTGTGCGGATAAAAAACTCCCCAGGTATGAAAAATGCTAAGGTCCACTTCAAAACTTGTGAATAGAAAGACAAACAAAACCGATGTAGAGCCTCGGAAAGAAGTAAATCGCTTCAAGTTGTCACATTTCATTGTAGTGTGGACAGATCAATTGGATAGGAAAAGACTTTTATCAAAGTAGACAAAAGTATGTGAAGGAGAAGCAACTTGAATTTAAAGGTTAGTGGGAATATTCATTCTGTAACAGACGTTGAAGAGCAAGTGCATCGGCTCTATGTCACCGAGAAACTAAAACTACTGATTACTATCGTCTCATAGACCGCAACCGCATCGTCAGCATCTCCCTACATGGCTGAAACCAACAGTTACAGACTTCATACACTAGTGTCATATCTTGATCTGGCCACTCTGAGCCTTCTTCCAGCCTCATCCAACTTCGTGTTGAAACTGCCAGGCAGTCTCAGTCACTGAAGTTTCACAACCCACTGATCGACTTACCTGTCTTATCTGGCACCTTTCGCATAACCTCTACATTACTCGCATAGTGATTCCACTATGGGCGAGCAATGCCACGAAGGCATCTATTGTCAAATACTTGTTGCCGCTTCATATCTTCTACTTTAAATGGTCATGTCTCACAGCCGTATAACAGAATACGACGAACTGCAGTAGAGTGTACTCGTCCAGTGACATAGTTATTCAGTTGAATATCTCGCCAGTCAGCGCCAGCGGTGATTAAATTTTGCAAAATGCCAAACCAACCTTTTATATTCGAGCTTAAATTGCTTCACCAACCAACTCTTTCAGGATGATGCAACTCCACATGTAGTCAACTACTTCACCCCTTATCACTGGACTGTGAGCAGTTGCAAACCAGTCCTGAAGCAACCTCATAAACCTGACAAGTGCGAAATGCACGTCAAAAAAACTAGGATTTCTGCTCAATGCGTTCGCAAGACCATTTTGTCTGCTTCTTTGCCTAACAGTACATTATCGTGCTTCACCTTTTGTTCCGGGTGATGAAATTGAACTGTGGTCTATCACCAACTTCTCTGAAGGCTTCCAACTAGATTTGGAAGGTTCCTTGCACTAGATAGTGAGTGGTGTGGTGCTACATCTGCTCGTCTTCGTGATCTTGTGTCCAGTAGACTGCGTCTCCACTTTCTTCACATTGAGATGAAGTCGATCTGATTTTTAGTGTAGTGTGTCCTGGTTTCTGGTGAAACCAACTCCATGTCGCTTTGTGAATATACTTGTGTTTGTACACACTGTCTCCAATCACCAAATCGTTGAATGCCCAGAAGTCTGCAAACAGTTCTCCATTGTCACTCATTTCACCGAGTGCTTCTCGGCGCATGATGAGTTCTCTTCCTGTATTGTCCGCTCCCAGTTTGGCATTCATGTCATCTATTAGAATTTTGATGTCGTCAACTGGAGTGTAGTCTTGTCCATCACTGATTGCAGTTGTCTGTAGAATTAATCCTTCTCCTCTTGATCTGCATTATTTGTAGGTGCGTAGCGTAGCGTAGCATAGCATAGCATAGCATTGTACGATTGTGACTCTCCTTCCTTTTGCGTTGAACCTTACTGTCATGATCCTGATGCTGGAGGAGATTGGTTGCCACTGCATGAGAGCGTTCGATGCTCTCAGGGACATCATGATATCCACTCCAAAACTCAGTGTGCTCGTGGTTGTCGTCTGGGTGACAATATCGGAGTAGATTATTGACTCTCCAGTTGACAGTTGAGGGAGTCCACTTCCATTCCATCTGCTTTCGCAGATTCCTAACACTTCACTGCTATACCTCCTCATCTCTTTGGCAATCTGGACAGCCTTGCCAGTCAGCCTCAAACATTGTGAGGACATTCTATTTCCCCATCCTTACTTTTGCTTTAATCGAGAGAAGACACATCGGCGAATTGGCTTCCCGAACGCTTTCCATTGTGGACCACTTGGCATGTGGCGTTTCCTTCGTGAATTATATCTCCAATGTTTTCTCCAGTGGCTTCCACCGACCGGCGTCATTTCGCCTCCCTGATTTCATGGAGGAATAAGTTTGTTTTCATTTTCTTTGTGCTTTGAAGTTTTTTTAGCGATTGGATTGGTTTTCCGGGTAGGTTTCCTAGCCCTGTGCAGCGATGTTCAAGTCATTATGAAGCAACTGGAAACTGGCTGTGCTTCGTTAAATTTCGTCAGCCCATTATCAACACTGTATCTATATATCTACATTCCGAAATTCGCAAACAAAATATTCTGCGTATTTAATGTTGCATCCTTGAATGGAAATGCTTACTGTAAAAAGGCTTGGATGACATCAGTATAGTGAATAGGTGTTATTCCGTGCTAAACGCCTACAGGATCCCTGAATATTTGAAGGAACTTCTATTTGAAATAAATGTAAGATTTGTTCTGCAGTCCGGAAACAGTTGATGAACAATAATCTATCAATAAACAGTTTTTCAACAATATATGTTTTTTCGTTGTCTTTTGTAAGGATAGAAATGGTCTGGGATTACTTTAAGCACATTTCGAGATGTTATTCTCATTTCTCGTTTAATTTTCTTCGATGTTTCAGATTCCTAATCATGTTTTCTTTCTGCATGAAGAATTAAACAAATTGCCATCATTTCCACGCAAAGCTCTAGAGTCAGATTTTTGTCTTTACGATTGGCCAACCTTCGGACGTCCATTATTTGCTTTAGATACAGTACATAAATTATCCTGGTGTCATTTATTATCAAATTTATTCATGATGATGCCTAAAACATATCCATGGTCCTCAGATTTACAAATATTTCTAAATGTTTACAATGGAACACTTATACTGCACGCTGAAGACTCATCAGTTCTGCGACAGTGTTTGGCATTCTTTATACAGGTTAGTTTGAGATAAATAACATACTCTATACCTCGATTTTTGCTTCAGCAAATCCACCAAGTTATTATTTTTTCTGTGTGTAATGGGTGTTAGAATAGCAGCAAAGACTCATTATTTAGATGAGGTCGTGATACGTTTTATTACAGCTAGTAATACTATATTATAGGTTGGGTTTTTTTCCGGTTGATATTCATCACGGACTGACGCCAGATGTAGGAACTTTGGAAACCTGGGAGCACTGGATAGCTGTTTCGTCCTGGTATGGGAATCGTCAATAGTGCGCACCCACAACCGCATCAGGGATCGGGCCCAAGACCTTTAGGTTTCGAAGCCAGTACTTTGCAATTGGGCCACTGGATTGAAATCCAATCAACTCTATTTCCTACTCCCATCAGTTGACGATATATCACGATCTCCATCCAGCGCCAGGACTCACCTCTCGAAACTAGTCACCAATGAGCACTAGAATAACTCAATTTAGAAGTTTGTGGGGATTTATTGAGGAGGAGTTTCATACTAAGACGAAACAGCTGTCCAGTACTCCCAGGTTTCCAAAGTTCCTCCAAATAATGTCAGTCGATGATGAATACCAACCTGAAATCAATAAATCTCCACAAACCTCCAAATTGGTTTCTTTTGTCTAACCAGCTCGGCAAAATGATTGATAGAATTCACTCAACACTCAATACTAAACAACATAAGATTGATTGCTCTCCAGTGATCAATCAATGTGTGTAATACTGTCTTACAGTAGGTCAGTCGCGGCCTGAAAACCGTAGTAGTAACGTCACTGACTTCAACTCTGGGTGACACGAGTTCAAATCTCGGGCGGGATATCGGTTCCCTCGAGGTTGCAAATACTCCTTTCTGACGAGTGCCAACAAGCACGAAACCTAGGTCCAGGTCTTCCTGTCCGTCGCCTCCCACCAACCAACATATTTTGGCTTTTTCTCAATGTATGTGAAACTAAGCCATTCAGACATTTCAATTCGGTTCCAGCCTTTGTCAGTAAGATAAGTGTGAATCAAGTATCAAAAGTAGGTATATGAGGTAAAGCTATGCTACTTATATCTCTATCACCATTTGCATTTGGATGCCTATTCTACTTTTTCAAAATGCTTGTGCTACCAGGTATGAAATTTACTTAGATTGAGTTAGACGACATTTACTTTGTTTTGTGGTTTTTGTTATCTTCAAGTAAGTGCATGGACAAAAAGGGAGGTGTAGGAAGGGTCATTCTGTCTTTCTCATTATTTGGTGACAGTTTTGGAGTAAGACTAGTGTGGGATTGGAATATGTACCTTTTAACTCCTAACTATGAGTATGCTGAAATACTGAGTACATTCTCAGAGCGGCATTTCTACTGTAAAATGTTAATTGGCGAATTTTACTTTTTGTCACTTTGAGCTGAAGACACTAATTACTGTTTATAAGCAGTCTAACTTTGAAATAGGTTTCCAGTTGAAATATTCTTAACTTCAGCTGCAAATGCAGTAATTTAATAATTTCACTCAGGTATATGTTTTCGTGCTAAAATATTTCATGTGCCACTTTGTATTTTTTATTTAGTGGATACTCATTTGTATATTTATAACGTATTAAATGATTATTTTTTTCTAAATACGTTCTCTTTATTCCGCAGTGCTGTTATCAGTTCAAAACAGTTTTTTCGACTACAGGTTATACTGGCATTGTTCCGACTATGATGCGTGTTTACAATCAGCATATGCATAACTCCGTTCTGACACAAGGAATTGAATTTACATTTAGACAGTTTTATGTCATGCACAGAACACCATTTATATTACAATTATTAGGAAGTATTGCTAACTACATAACAATTAATAATGAAATAATCGGTGCAGGAGATGAATTCTATCGGGTGAGTGAACGTTGTAATTGGTATTTATAATTCTCTAAAACTGTAACTTGTTTTCGGTTTTCTGAGTTGATTTATTTCACAACCTCATCGATTCATTTTTTCTTCCCATGTAACTTAAATATTGCCTACCAACGGTCCCGCCACCTGTTTTCGAAATAATGCTTATGCTAGATTACTCTCAAACATCTCTTGTTCATGATGTTTCCATTTCACAAAGTAGAACACAGTGAACTGCTGTGAAACATATGAATTCACTCGGTCTATGGGTTATCAAATGATAAACAAGCCATTCATGTAGATTCTGCCTGCGACAACATCTCATTCACGTGAGAAGATAAACATGCTTAATTTGTTTACTTGCTATTCCTAAACTAGGTATCAGTACAGGGCAGAATCAAAGTATCGTCTCTTGCGTGGTGCATTTGATACTCCTGTCAAACATAACCACACCTCTGGCCAACATATTCCTTGAGATACTTTAAATGTTTTCTGGTGATAAAGTTAGATTATGTACTTTTAGAATCCTAAATATTTTACGATTCATCAACTCTCCTATCTGACTTCTTTATTTTGATATCTTGATATCCTTGTTGATTCTTTCTTTCTTCATTATTGCAGCGTGTTAACCTAAAGAAATGTACCTCTTTCAGATGTACTACTTCGATGTATATGCCTGTTTGCGATTGCAGCGTTTAATCAGTAAAGTTCTGCAACGATAGGCGTTTGTTTCCTCTTGGGATTTCTTGCAACAGTTAACTAAGTTACTCGTATAGCATCCATTAGTAAAGTCATCACTAACTGTGTTAGTAGACATAACATATGTGTGCATGTTCATCATATAAAAATCTAAATATCCGTCTGCAAACTGTACGCTACCGGATAGAGGAAAAGAGGTTTACTAACCTCCTCTTCGTCATAGCTTTCTTGTTAAGATGCTACGAAATACGACTCCTATATTGAGTTAAGGTTAAGTAATGAAATTTAACTACAATGTGCAAGGAATTCTGACTGGATGGATAGGCACAAAGAGACAACCAGTGACACTCAGTGGGTAAATATCTATTTTATATGAGTTTCCAGACTTCTTACGTATCTGTAGTATTCTTGAGGTCGTAGAATTTTCATCACAGATATACTGAGGTGGCGAATCGACATTTTAATTAGAATTGAACGTTTTCATTCAGTTAATTTTTCTGCACACTGGATTACTATCGTATATGTTTCATTTTCTGACCTCTTTGACCAGAATCTACCAGGAAGTCAAACCTCCTCCTAACGATACATCACGATTCAAACTGTCTGGCTCTTATGCCACCTTAGAATCGTTTCATACCATGAACGTTATAGACAGAACTGCATTTTTTTTGCATTTACATGTAAAAATGGAAAGTATGTCACGGTCCCCAAACTTTACTACCAGATAAAAATATAAACTTTTCAATAAGCTTATAACTGATATAAACTCAACCTCGCCTGGTTAACTAGTTTACTAGTTACTAGCCGGTCCTAAGCCCGGGTAAAGAGGGAAGGTTGGGCATAGGGCTAGCAACCCTACCCCGTAAAACAAATCTAACCGCTAAAGAAACTTCAAAGCACAAACAAAATATAAAAAATGAAAACAAACTTATTCCCCGCTGGAATCGGAGAGGCGAAATGACGCCAGTTGGTGAAAGCCTTCGGGAAGCCAATTGGCCGATGTGTCTTCTCTCGATGAAAGCGAAAGTAAACGTGGGGACATGGAATGTCCGCACGATGTTTGAACCCAGTAAGGCAGCCCAGATTGCAAAGGAGATGAGAAGGTATAACATCGAAGTGCTTGGGATTTGCGAAAGCAGATGGAATGGGAGTGGACTCTCCAAACTGTCAACTGGAGAATCAATAATCTACTCCGGTCACCCAGACGCCAACCACGAGCACACTGAGGGAGTGGCTATCATGATGTCCTCAAGAGCATCGAAGGCTCTCATGCAGTGGGAACCAATCTCCTCCAGGATCATGACAGCAAGATTCAACTCAAAAGGAAGAAAGGTCACAATCATACAATGTTATGCACCTACAAATAATGCAGAGCAAGAGAAAAAGGAGGAATTCTACAGACAACTTCAATCAACACTGGACAAGACGTCAGTTGGCGATATCAAAATTCTAATGGGCGACATGAATGCCAAACTGGGAGGGGACAACACGGGAAGAGAACTAACCATGGGTCGAGAGGCGCTAGGTGAAATGAATGAGAATGGAGAATTGTTTGCAGAATTCTGTGCATTCAACGATTTGGTGATTGGAGGCAGTGTGTTCAGGCACAAGGATATCCACAAAGCGACATGGACTTCACCAGATGGACACACTAAAAATCAAATCGACTTTATCTCAATCTCAAGAAAATGGAGACGCAGTCTACTTAACACAAGGTCAAGAAGAGGAGCAGATGTAGGTTCAGACCACTATCTAGTGCAAGGAACCTTCCAAATCAAGTTAAAAGCCTTCAAGGAAGCTGGTGATAGACCTCAATTCAAGTACAACACTCGGAAACTGAAGGATGAAACTACAAAGGAGATCTTCAAGAGCAGCCATCAAGACAAAATGGGAGACATCGAGGGACATCCCTGAAGAAACCTGTGTGGAAGAACACTGGAAGTCTTTGAAAGCTATGTGGAAAGAAACCTGCACAACAGTATTAGGAAGGAAGAAGAAAGAAGACAAGGAATGGATCTCGACGGATACCTGGAAGCTGATAGAGGAGAGGAGGATGGTGAAGCAGAAGATAAACCAGTGCAAGGATGCTCAACGACAAGAGGAACTGAGCACAATGTATAAAACACTGGATAAAGAAGTGAAGAAGAGTGCACGCAAAGACAAAAGACACTTCTACGACACACTGGCAAGTGAAGCAGAACAGGCTGCAGGTAAGAGAGACCTGACGACATTGTATCAAATAACCAGGTTGCTATCAGGGAAGAGACCAACACAGATGAAACCAATAAAAGATGAAGAAGGAAATTTAATTACAAAAGAAGAGAAACAGAGGAAACGATGGGCCGACCACTTCAAGAAGCTCTTGAATCGACCACCACCTGCACTTCGTCCAGAAATACCACCTGCAGCCGCTGAATTACAAGTGAACATTAATCCCCCAACGAAAATGGAAGTCCTGAACGCCATAAAGCTACTGAAATGCGGGAAAGCAGCAGGACCAGATGGAATACCGCCAGAAGCACTGAGAACAGATGCAGAGACAACAGCGGACATGCTCACACCACTATTGCAGAAGGTGTGAAAGGAAGAGAAGGTACCTGACGATTGGAAGAAGGGTTACCTTGTCAAACTGCCGAAGAAGGGAGACCTCAGTGCTTGCAAGAACTGGCGCGGAATCACTCTCCTGTCCACCCCAAGTAAAATATTAAGCCGCATCATCCTGGAGAGGCTTAAAGACGCACTGGATTCAAAACTGCGACCGGAACAGGCAGGCTTCAGGAAGTACAAATCATGTGCAGACCAAATTGCAACGCTTCGTATCATCATAGAACAGAGCGTAGAATGGCAATCAGCTCTCTACCTCAACTTCATCGACTTTGAGAAGGCCTTTGACAGCGTCGACCGAGAAGTAATTTGGAAACTGCTTCAATACTACGGAGTACCGCAAACCTTTATCCGCCTCATTCAACAACTATATGAAGATGCCACATGCCAAGTAATTCACAATGGGAAGCTCAGTGATGCCTTTGAAGTGAAGACAGGAGTGAAACAAGGTTGCCTACTATCCCCCATGATATTCCTTATTGTGGTGGACTGGATCATGCAGCAAACAGTAGGCAGCGAGAAGAGGGGGATACACTGGACGACGGAAAAGAACCTAGAAGACTTGGATTTCGCCGATGACTTATGCCTAATGTCACATAAACTTGAAGATCTGCAGGCAAAAACTAACAAGTTGATAGAAGAGGCAGCTAAGACGGGACTTCAGGTGAATATAGAGAAGACAGAAGTGATGAAGATACCGCACCACCACCATCAACAACAACAACAAACTCCAGTCACCGTCAACGGGAGAAACTTGAAGGAAGTAACCTCCTTCACTTATCTAGGAAGCACTGTTTCAACTACAGGCGGGACGGACGAGGACGTCAAAGTCAGAATCGGAAAAGCAAGACAGGCGTTCATTAGCCTGAAACCAGTGTGGAGATCTTCTGCACTCAGCATGCGGAACAAGATACGGATTTTCAACACCAACGTCAAGTCAGTGCTCTTGTATGGCTCAGAGACTTGGCGCGTCACGAAAGGCATTTCCAATAAACTACAGACATTCATCAACAACTGCTTACGCTCGCTGCTGAAGATCAGATGGCCAGAAAAAATAAGCAACAAGGAACTCTGGGAACGAACCAACCAAGAACCTATCACACAACAAATATGCAGGAAGAAGTGGAGATGGATTGGCCATGCACTGAGAAGGCCGACTGAGGACATCACGCGTCAGGCCAGTCACTCGAGTGGAATCCCCATGGGAAGCGACGAGTTGGACGTCCGAGGGTGACATGGAGGAGGTCGTGCGAGGAGGAAATGAGAGGTTGTGGGCTGTCGTGGGACCAGGTTCAAAAGATCTCAGAGAACAGAGGTCACTGGAGGCGTGCTACTGAAGCCCTATGTTCCACTAGGAACCCAAGGGACTAATAATAATAATGATATAAACTCAGAATGCCAATTTGTTGATTGGTTTGACTCAGTAATTAATCGAAGCTAAATTAGCTATTAAAGTGTGGTGTAGGACAGTTAGTTATCCTGTATTACCTGTTTACTGAATATTCTTTTGTTTTTATTTTTACTGTATAATGTGAACATTGTAGTAAACTGTCATTCCATATTAAATTAGTTTATTTTATACATCACACGTTAATGTTGCATTATTTGCTGGTGGACATTTTCAACACAATTTCTCGCTTATAATCCTATCAAAAAATCACAGAACCTTCGGCTATAAAAATCAAACATTAAAGGTTATTTGTTGACTACTTTGATGTGATTATAGACAGTACAATGTACCTGAAACTTCATCCAATAAATTGGACTGTATCCCAGTTTGCGATATTAAATTAGATGATCTATTTTAAAATGGAATTATCTTCCCGCTTCTCGTAACATGAGCGATTTATGTTTGTGAAACAGGCAATTTATTCGATTGGTAGATGGAAGGGTAAATCAGTGTAATAACTGACTCTGCTATATAAAACTACTAACCTTTGAAGGATTCATGGAAATGTCAGTATTTCGAACTTTATTAGCACCCTGAGAAAATCTGGAACAAAACTATAAGTGGTATTTTTTTTCCAGTTTCTGAAAAACCTAGACAGATCCTCAATTCATATCTGAGTCACGTTAAACGCAAATGTCTACATAGTAGCAATACTGAACTTAAGATACGAATTTAAAGAGATGACGGTCTCGATTTTGAAGCGCCATTAGAGAGGATTATACTGGCTGATGATTGAAGGTGAGATGAAAATCTGGACCACAGCCGGATTTTCATCTCACCTTCAATCATCATACAGTATTACTGTTAGTCTTCCAAACTCCGGCTATCTCAAATAGTCATGTGATAAAGAGGATTATGATTGAAGGGTAACCAGTTAGTGCTGGATGATTTTCAGTAGTCAGTATTTGTTCTTGGCAAAGACTATTTTCATCATCATCATCACTTATTGTTCATCCTCTAATTTCTAGCCTTTTCATTTGTTTGACTGCTTATTTGCTTCGTGCCACGGAATTCACCAGTTAAATCTTAGATGCATGTGTATTCACACTATTTGAACAAACAACGTACCTAAAACGTTGGTTGAAACTTGTAGTTTCCCTTTCCTATACAAGGTCGAACTGCTCGACCTCTGCTCAATGTGAACAACATCGCTCACTAAGGAGCAGGCACAACCATCTGACGAGTCCCAAATAGGACGCATTGTGCGTCCTGGATTCCACTGCTAGTCAATACGATGAACAGGATCTAAAAAGTAATCATGAGTTAGTAAAACGGGTAAGGGAAATCAAACAGCACATGACGAGTGAATAAGTTACATTTCTGGCCTACTAACTAATTCTTCACTGATTACAGATTCAACCTGGAACTTTGTACAGATTGTTACGAGTTATTAGTCGTCCGTTAGATGACAATCTCCGGATACTGGAATTATGCAATATTCAAAAGCCCCTAGAAGCTTTAGTAAGTTCATTATTTTAGTTTGTACTAACTACTGGGTTTTTTCTGCAATTTTGTCTCTAATAACCCACTTTGTTTGACTAAAAGGAATGAGAGGTAAGTAACTTACATAATACTTACATCCAACTATTATTATTATCAGTTCAGTAGGTTGGATTCATTTTGCAAATATACAGGTGATGGTAACTCCACTAAAGCTTTGAACATCTTGCTTGATAGGTAGTCAGTTGAAATGCTACCATAATGATAATTACTTATTCTCCTAACTCTTACCCCAACACTGTTTTACCATAAAAAGACGTGTATATAGTAGAATATTGTATGTTCTGCAAACAACCAGAAATAATATCATAGTCAGAAAGTTTTAAGCAGTTATGAATGATAATATGTAAACAATAATGAAATTCGAAATTGTGTAGTCAGTCACTTAAATCTAGACTTCTAACTAATGAGAATTATGCGCCAAACGGCTCATGTCTAATTCAGTAGTGCAGCTCAAAAACACCAAAAGACGTTTATATATATTTATATTCACCAAGGACACATTTTACTGACTGTGAGCAATCTATGAGCTAGAACCCTCCTTTATCCTTTTCAGTCATCACAAATTTTAGTGATAATGACAAAGCGTTTCTTTTGGAGAGAGATCATGTGCTTAGTTCATGGGTGCCTACTGAGTACATATAATAAAATTATACTTTAAATGTACATAGTCCATTTTTTCTCCCAAGACCCACTAAATTGTCAAACATTGACCATTCATTTTGTTACATTAGGTTTTCTCTGAATAAGGGAACAATTTTGTATAAATGTAAATAATCGGTGTTATAGGACTGACCAGTTATCATAGAGGGAGGTAAGTAGTCATCACGTTTACTAAATTAATAATGCGTAGAAAATTCTATATCACCCTGAAAATGAAGCAAATCGAAATACTTCATCAAAACATCCGAAGTATGCAGCTCATAGGTATCTCCAGTAACGGAGTCAGACAATGTAGGTACAGGAAGACGTTAATCGTTTCCAACCAATAACCGAAATAGTTGGAAACTCGTACTATTAACTTAGTACAGTTACCACTTTGACGTGTCCTAACTGTTAACTAAACTAGTGATTTACTACTAGATAAAGTAATCTCCTGCTGAAAAGATATGTTTATGAACAAGATAATTTTTCTCAGCTCTTAAATATCAGAAACTGCTTAGATAAAAATTAGATAGAGATGTCGAAGTCTGAACAATTAGTTGCATAGCAAAAAAAGTATTTCAAGAATGAATTGTCATCGAAATAGCATAGAATGAAGGAAGAGTTGATATTGCATAGGAAGTCAAAAGAATGAAATGTGAAGCTAACTTTTCAAATCATCTCATTTTTGGAAGAAGCAGATTGAGAAGAACCATTCTATGCAGATATTGATTTCATCTCATTTTTTATAGAAATTATAATATGCAAATACTTGTGTTACATTGTACCCGTTGTCTGCGGTAGTAGTCAGTAACAAGAATAAGACAGTCACCAGATTAACTATCCATCGTTTTGCAATTTTTATAACAATCAAATTTTTTCCCAGTTTGTGCTTCATAGATAACCATTACATAAGTCAGATAAACTCTTTTATGCTCAAGACTCTGATTTATGACATCAGTTTTATCTGCGTAGCGATTAATACTGAATTATTTCTTGACATTCTGGTATGATTAGTGTAGTCACCTAGATGACTTTAGGGTATATTTGGGAGTTTTCCAGTCCGGTAGCGTAGGAGAGATTATTTTCAGTCTCAAAAACCTAACTATCATACGCCAGTTAAACATAGTTAAAAAGCAAATAATTCTAATTAATGCGTTTTCCTTTGCACATTATTTGTGAATGATTTAGAAAATTACATCTGATGAATGTTTACAATCTTTGATAATCATTGCTTTCTCTGAATAACTTTCTTCACAGGATTTCTGCTATGATGACGAGGATGCCAACTGGTCTATTTTGGAAGTGATAAATCTGTGTGTAGCTGTTATCGCATATGCCCCGGATTCTTATAGAACTAGACAAATGCTGGTAAATCTTTTAACCTGGCACAAATCTGACTATTTGAACCAAAAACAGTCACTAACCGTGATTATTTATCTGTAGAAATAGAATGTGCATAAATGTGAATAGATCCCAAAGCCGTTAACTCGTAAAATCGTAATTTAAGTGTAGTTGGCTGAAGAAAATCGGCAGGAGGCCCTCTAGTTAACTAAAATCTGTCAAAAGTACTTACAACCCAGTGTTAAGCATTCTAGCTTGGTAGCCAGATAGCAAAATGGATCGATAGAATTTTGATCAGCATTCAGGATTAGACAATTTGAAATTAATTGCGCCCCAGTGACCAGTCGTTGAATTTCAGATAGTCTCATCGAATAACAATTTGACAATTTTTTCTGACTATTTACACCATGTAGATGATGCGTAAAGCTATCATGTCCGTGAGTCACTGAGATAAATTTGATATCTATTCATGGACACACAGAGCGAATTCCAGGCTATGATAAACTGTTGTAGTCTTGTTAACTGTAAACTCTGAGTGGTTTAAGATTAAATTGCGCCAAAATCAGAACTTGACGGTGTGTAAAATTTGCGTACAACATAATTGTATCTTGCTCATTGGTCGATCTTATTAACATTGTATCTAACAGGTAGTTTCTTGCGAAGTGAGTCATTTCTAATGTCTCAAACTCTAGATAAGAAGAATGCATAAATTTTGTAGATTTCTTTCATTTGTAAGTTTAGTAAACAACGCAGTAGAGAGTCACAACATCTGACGGCTTCTTCCAGCCATCTAATTTAAGAAGTATGGAAAAAACACTGAGGTTTTTTTCATTTGATAGTTACTGTAGTGTTAAGACAAGTGATAATCATTTCCCAGGAAATGCAAGGTTAAGTAAAGAGCAAACAAGATCGTTACAGAACTCACTACTCTCTCATCTGGGAGACAATGATCATCCAGTTAATATTCACAACACCTTTAAAATTATTTATCATATTGCTTATAATCTCATTGAGTAACTGAATCTTCATTTACTAACCAGTTTCAACTAACTTCGACTAAAATAAATATTCATACAAAATAAACTGAAATAAAATATTTAGTCTTGTCAATGAGTTTTGATTCACTCAAGTCAAAATAATAACTTAATCTACTGTATTCCTTCAGGTAATTCTTCAGGCTTTACTCCCACTGATCCTGAAAGACCTACCGTACATTTGTGCAGAAGAAGGAAGTTGCACTGATCCTAAAAAGGCTGAGTTAACAGCTATCCAGAAGGTTTCAATTGCAATACGTCAGCTAATTTCAACAACGGAATTTATGACCAGGTATATTGTCAGTTCCTTAACTACAGTTATTATCATTAGTATTGGTTACGTTGTGTTTCCCTGTAACTTGTGTTAGTAAATACTTGTGACAGTGAGTAGTTAACTTAGATATTCTCGTTCATCTTTTTTCCCTGAATGGCTGCCATTCAATTTCGTTATTACGTCATCTGACCAATATACTTTGAGCATTGCTGTGATTTATCATTTTGATGTTATTACAGAGTTTAATGACCTCTCTTCTGTACCATTCAGGACTGCTAAATCTTGTAGATTTTTCAAAAAATATCAAAAGTACTGGCGGAATAGTTGAGTGGTCTTTTATAGATATTCACCTATCTCGTTTAGATCACAGAGTAAGCTAGTAAATGCTTGCTATGTTTCATGTTTCCATTTCAAGACAGACTCAATAACCAAGTTTTTGGGATGTTGCATTTAGTTGAATAGGCGGCTGAAAAAACTACCCTACCCAACTGTTCTATTTTTTTCCAGGTAGGATAAACCACATCGAAGCCTCAACATCGTTTCCGCAGGTGCAACAAGTTTAAACATAAGCAGATTTTTGAGCTCTAGAAATGGTCTTTTACCCACTGACTTTATCCTTTATTATCGCTGTCACATGTATACTGCAAGTGTATCCGCTTTAAAATAAACCAAACAGAGCAAATATCACCAACAGAAAGTATAAGAGGTAGTAATTAGGCTAGAACTGATGTAAAAACAATTATATATTCTAGAATGTTAAAACATTTAGTGAGACAACTATCGTTTAGACTGATAGTTCATAAAGCAGGGTTCCTTACAAAGTAACTGAGTAACCAGACTGTAGGATTTATTTTAACCCACAATTGCTTTAATCCTCATGCCTGCTACTTGCGACATGGAAACAACAGGTAATGAATGGCATAGATGGTGGACATTCAGTAGATTATAAATCACATGTATGCCATGCCAGTACCGAATTAGAATGACACGTTCTGACAACCCCGAATGGGTGGGGAAACTTTAAAGGCGATTTTATAGGCCACCCTGACAACTAGAAAATTAGTTTTTAATACAAAATAGAAACCTAATTGGTTATTGCAGCAGTTGCTAGGATGGCCTTTAAAGTCGCCCAGTTGGTGCATGCTTAAACAAAGTAAGAAATTTGATTAGCAAATGATTTATCTAACTTCTTTTAGTCTTCATTAACACACACACACACACAATGCAGGCTGACTTGAGAACTCTGAGCGAAAATTTTGTAGCCTCGCTACTACTTAGTGAAGTTGACCTCAATCCATGTAAGTATGGTTATACCAACCGATATTATTTGTACAGTTAGCTGACTGTTTCTAATCTGAAATTTTTTATTACTGTAATCCATCGACATAATCAGATTCATTTCATTTGTGCATTACCAATTGCTTGTTTTTGTCTTTCAATTTGTGTCCATGCTAAAAAACTCCTGTGTTAAGCTACTCATTATCATCAATATTTCTTCATTTAGTTGTGAATTTAAGCTGTTCTCAATTTCCGATTTTATGTGAGTGAAACCTCACCAATTGAGCCATAAGGAAATAAATTTAACTACAATCTAGTTACTTGGTATCCTTTAATGCACCGAAATACATGTTAATTATTTCAGCTATAGTCATTCCCTTCAAGCTTGGTTGGTTAGGTTAAGTTTAGGTAAAATCATCATGCATAAATATTCTATAAAATCTCAACAGTAATGTGACAACATTACTGATCGGCGTTGTAATGGCTTTTATTTAATTCAAATCCAAAGGTACATGTATTCGCTAGCTAACTCTATAATTAGTTTACTTGATAGAACAGTTAGTTTCACGTTTTCCCAGTGACTAGAAATCAACCATTCTTTTTTCACTGAATGACAACGACTTTTTCTATTTAGAAGAGTGGAAGATACACGCCAGATGAATTACCTTGCTCCGGGTGGACCAACAGAATGTCGTAAAGAATCACCCGGTCGTTTATTAACTGGTGTGGCTAGTAGATTAGGAAATTATGAAGCAGTGAGGAGCAACTTCGCAAAGACATTAGATACAACAAAAGGTAATGCAACATCTGAAAAAAGTCAAGACATGAATTATGCAACGAAATTAACAATGTATCTTTGAATAAAGGTTTTCCCATGTCAGTTAATTTAAACATCTCACATGAAAAAGAAAATCAGTCAGGTCAGGTGTTAGCCAATCCTGTCACTACAACTAGCAGTCATCAACGCTCAACAGCTTACGAACCAAAAGAAGCCGTTTTGCAATTAGTTTGTGAATTCTTATCTACATGTTCAGTGCGGCTTCTAGAAATAGAAGAGAAGCAACGTATCTGTGATCTACTAGATGCCAAATCGCATATGGTAAGTCATTAGTATAATTAAAACACTATAAGATGACAGAACGTATATATTATGTGAGGTTTTATCCATGGTAGCATCTGAGAATTTTGCCAACATAAGAAAATTAATATACATCGGTTATTATCTAGGAGAAGTACGAGAGTAATATTATATGTAACGATAGATAATACGTCTTAGGCATAGTTAACAATGAACTTATCTTCTATGAAACCTTAACATACTTTGTTTACTACACGGAGAATGAAAGAACAAGTTATACTGTTGAGCCCTCAAATGTAACCAAGTAATCACTCACTCCGCCATAGTTCTTTACGGTAGTTCATATGTAATTGTTTCTTGATGAGGTCAAGTATCAAAATTCACTTTAGTTAATGAAAATCATACACAGTAGCACAATGTAGACATTAACATACAAGCATGCTGCAATACAGATCCACTAGCAGTAAAATTATTTCCAAGTTTCTGAGCTAATATGCAATTTATGTTTCATGGTTTGAATACCATACACTGCACGTTTCCCAACCTCTCATAAGAAGTAGGATACCACCGATGATGAAGTGTTAATGCGAGTGGCTTTAAGGGCCACGCTATCAACTGCTGAGATATCCAATGAGTTTCCTTTATTTTGTGGAAAACTACCTTCCCAAGCGAAATAACGAAACTTGATTGGTTACTTTAACAGTTGCCAATGCGGCCTTTAAAGTCGCTCGATAACCCTGATAAGCATTTAGTTAGGACTGCTAAAAAATCACTTAGTTTACAAGTTGATAACCGCCTTAACTTTTGGTTCGATGGAATGATCAAATTTACCGAAGTGGTGTGCAATAATACTAATGATATAATTAATATGATACTCTAGTACATTCTGCTTGGTGTTAGATTTTTGGAGTCCATCGGTGAGGGTTGTTTCATTTGAATATTTATGATAAAGAATAAGAATTCAACCTACATTTATTTATTGATAGAAATTTATTGACCAACTGTTAACTACAGTAATACCCTTGATTGACTATTTGTCATCTGAAAGTCAGGTTATAATAACTTTGCCTTCGTCATATTTCTGTACCCTAATAGGGCTGTCTTATTTTACTGATGTTCTTGTTTCTGAATCTGGATATCATTGTACACTGCATAATACCGTCAGTAGACCCATAAATCTTTTTTCTAGGGGTGTTACTTTCTCTGAGCTGGATGGTGTAATCGAGAAACCTTCATTATCTTCTAAGATAACATCAGCAGCAGCACTTGGACTCAGAGAATGCAACGCCACTAAGATCATGCTTCTGAGCTACAAATATTCTTCATCATCTAAAAATAGTTTTTTTTGTGGCATCCAAGAAAGATGTGAAATAGTTATCAATCGATCACAGTAGGTAAACGAATATCAGGTTGTAAATTAAACTGGCCAATTTGGTCAACTATTTGAATGATCAGTTAACAAAATTTCAATACAGTGATATCCCCCGATGAACACAAACTATAGTTACAACAGACTTTGTGTTTACAAAAGGATAACTTTGCTATTAAAACGCAACGCAATAACTCTTGTATCCGTGCAATCATAAGCTTTTGTAACTGTAATTGATTCTTCTTATGATGATAGCAATATTAAAGCACAGTGTTTGTTTTCATTTTTTAGAGACTAGCTGATATAGCTCAATCTATGCTGAAACAAGTTTCCAATAGTCCAGATTTTCTGGCCAGTTCAGCGCTACAGCGTTATTTCCTAGAAGTACTTCCAATTATAGATTGGAGTCATGAATCACTAAGATCATGTAAAGCATTAGAATGTCTTTTAGGCCGGTTCAATAGGACTTTACCCAAAATGCTTGAATTCGCTATTAAATCAAAGGTGAGTCTAGATAAGCAGTTTCATTCGTATAGAGTTTCGTAGCTGTCATAACACTAAGCAGCATAGTCAAAAAGGAATTACACGTATCAGTAACAGGTTTTAACTGTTGCGTAAGAAATAGTTGTCGTTACTCAGTTTTTGAGTGGATAACGCTCTTACTTGTGAGACAATAGGTACTGGCTTTTAGTATTGTTAGGTTCGTCATCCGTTACAGGGATGCAGATACATACAGTTACATAGTTCCGATTACCATGAAATATACATCTTGTTTTTCAGTGACATGAATGTCATCAAAAATAATCTCCATGCAATATCTAGGCATCTGCATAGGAGCCTATATGCCACCAACAACTGACGAATTTGTCCCAAACGAAGCGATCAGTATAGCCACCAAAAATATTTTATTTTATTTTGCCCAATTATTATCAGAACGGTTTTCAAGATGTTCGTATTCTAAAAATATCTTTGTCTTTCTAATTACCAAGCTGTGACTGGAGTTGAAAAGTCATAGTGTAGTGGTCGCTGCTGACCAGAATGAATATAAGTAGTATATGTTTAGAGGACGTTAGGAATCATAGGGAATTACCGACTATGGGTAAAGATTCCGTCCAGAGAAATGCAAAAGACAGTATGGGTGTATTAAGAGCAAATCAAGATAGAAGTAGGAGAAGAAATAAAACACATTGTACAAATGAGTTTTAGTGGAAAGTGTACAATATTTGATAACTACTGTACAAGATGTCAATAATAAACATTCCTATCTGCGTCTCAGTCTTCTCATTTCCTACGATAGTAATTTAAGAGAGACAAATAGACGGACAGACAAATATCAAATATATTCATTCAGTTAAGTACACTTCACATCATAGTAGTTCACTTAAGAAATTGGCATCAAACAGTACAACTTAAAACTAGGAATTTATCGTTAGTTATGTAAGTGGCAGTAATTACTGAGAATCAAACCAGGTCCTAACCGAATTCACAACTCAAGGTAAGAGTGATATATTTAGGTATTGTCATAGCAAAGTTTCGTTCTGTTTAAAAACCAGTGATCAGAAAAAATGTTTTTTCTTCTCGAATCGAGAAACTGTACCATTATTCGCCATCAGCTAATAAGATAGTAAAGTTGACTTTTACAAGTATTTAGATGTCTTAAATTTACTTACTTTCAATTTCATCCTTTGGTTTACTGATCAGTTGATATTTCTGTCGACTGACTGTCTGTTAGCACCACACTTTACCGTTCAGTGTATACTACAATTTCCTAATCTATCAAAAAGTCTTACAAAATAACTGTTAAGTCCATTTAACGTTTAAACCAATAAGAACCTCACATAAAAATTATTCCTTTAAGTCTGTGCAACCAGCGTATATAGAAGTTTGAGTGTTGTTAAAAGTTGAGTTTCATTTTATTTCGTTAAAATGACGCTTTTGTTTAATTACTCGTCATTAGGTTATCTCAAATTAACTCTCGCGACAACGCTTCACATATACCGCAAGATGTGAAAACTTATTTATGCATCATTCTCATTGACACAGATTATGACAAATACAGCATCTGAGTATATTTTCTCTCCAATAGGTAAAGATTAGTAAAGAATTTTTCGCAGTATTCACAAACTGTCTTGTGCACAAAATAAATTTTCGACGTCATTACTGAGTTCTAGAATAGATAACAAACACATCAAGTCAGTTGTTTCAATTAAGATATGACCATTTTATTTATAAATCTCTATTAAGAACAAAAGTTTCGAATGGTTCAATAGATTACTTACAAGGTGTAAAACAGCTACTGTCCATAAAAATGACATAATCTGGATGAACATTTCAAGTGTGGCAGACCAGGTAGGATTTGATAAGAATATTGCCATTAGCATGTTTGATTAAAATTTCTTCGCCTAACTGGGGAAATTAATTTTCTAGAACCTCACATGTTTTTTATGTCACATACACTAAGATTTCTTAGAATTTTATTTAATGGTGCTTTCAGAGTTTATTTCATTTTCATTTTTGTAGGCGATTCATCACTGGGATGAAATTGTTAAGCTTATTCGGTCAGTTTACTGTATACTGAAAAAGAACCGATCAGTTGCACATATGAAAGAAATTCGTGTAAGTTATCTCATATAATCTAGTCACGGAGAATACGATAGTAGACATAAAACTTTGTGAACAGTTGCAGAGGAAAGTTTGATCACCGAGTTTAAAAATCATAACAGCGACCACATTGAAACCTTGTATAACCTGTTTCTTGTAGTGAGTTATCATTAATAAAGATGCTGTGTTTGTTTCCGTAACATCAATTCAGCAAAACATGGCGTACTAAATGAATTTATTACCTAAATGCTTGGGAACTATGTCAGTGTTTCCAATACAACAGTCAATTTGAACAATGCTGCATAAACATTTAAACAATCAAAATCAGTAAAATGGTTATCCGTCCTTTTTGAATGCTTTATCACGTAGCAAACTGATATGAAGGGTATTCGTTACTTTAATGTATGTATTTTCCAGTGAATGTGAAACAAAACAAGTTTGTTTTAACTGATGTTTCACTATCTAGTGTTAATAACCAAAGTCATAGTAAACCGGGATTTGCAGCCTCCAAGTTTATGCGTGTTTACTTGATGAATGATTCTGCTTTGTCAACTTGTTGAATTAAGATTGTTTATATGTAGATTGAGATTTGCATGTATACATGAGATTATAGTTGCAATCATATACGCATTGGTTATTTCAGGATGCGGGAGTGGGTTGAGACCAGATCAAGTTACTTTCTGTTCACTCATTCCTATTTATTCAGTTTTGATTTCTCTTTATGAAAGGAGATTCTACTATGAGATATTCCTCGTAACCTCTAAAACCTTTCTGAATATTGTCAAGGTTAATCTTGTGACCTGAAATCGCAGTGTATATGGCTGAAATGTTTTCAAGCTCTTTTAGCTCTTCTGAATTTATAAAGGTGAAGGGGGAAGTTGGTTGATGTTCACTTTTAATAGCTTTGATTTCACTCATAGTTTCCCTATGTTTGCGTTGCAGTCTGGGCATTTTAAAAGCACAATTCGATTATGAATCCAGGGGAATTTTTTCATACGTAATAAGGTGATCTGCAATGTGTTTGTTCTGTAGAACACTGTGATATTGCATTCGTTGAGCACTCTCCTAATGTGACGTGTATGGGATGACCATTGTTGTGGCCCGTGACCAAGTAGTGCTTTTACAATCTAGTTTAATATAGCTTTCTATTTTGCAAATGAATGAATATTCAGTTTTAAGAATCTTGTCCATATGCTTTAATTCCTTAACTCTTTCATTTTCACTCGTTAAGTGTGAAGTAATTAGTCTGTAGCTGAAACTATAAAGCTTTGATGATGTCATTAGTACTCAATGGACATGTATCTATCAAGGTTGTAAATGATTCTTATAAATTAGAAATAATACTTTGGCTATCATGAATTAGATTGACAATATATAAAGAATCGATATCATAGCGTACGATAATCGATAACTATGAACGTGGTATATCAGGAAGACAAACCCTAGCAAAACTAATCACGTAATCTAAGCCACCGCATGCTTTAATGGTAATTTGGATAGTTTCTGTAATATAAAGTTCTCTAATGTCGTATCTAAGCTTTACAGAAAAGAGAGTTATGTCTAGTGCAGTATCTAGGTGCAAAAATCCCCCACAAACATCAATCCAGACTGTGATATATTTGAATTGGTTCGGCGTTGTGTCGTAACATGTAACCAACAAGCTGACATACGGCTTGGTTAGGAACCGGTTTTTACTGTGGATTTCGATCAAGATTGTGCTATACTTGTGCTGAGCTGGTACAACTGACCACATTCATTTTTTAATTATGTCACTGTTTATACGGACAAAATTTAACAATGTATAGTACTCCAAAATGGAGACGAAGGAGGGGTCATCTTTTGGGTACTTTGATGACCATGCTAGATATAGTTGAGATACAGCAAAATGATACACAGTGCTTACAAACTCGAATAACGTGTACACTCCGGAAATCCTCTCTCATCTCAGCTAAATTAAATTTGTATCATGTATGCTCATTAAACATCGATATTCGTTTAGAATGTTAGTTAGTTGCTTGGTACCTTATTCTAGTTAGTTCTCGTCAATCATATTCAGATTTATACGAAACTAAATGACTGGAGATGCATACCAGAGTAACAGCTTGAAAGTTATCATCTATGAGAAACCCAAGTCAAATGTATTCGTATTCCTGATTGATAATGTGAACATATGTGAGAAAATCATGTTCATCCATCATTAGCTTTAGTAGGAGGTATCTTACATGAAATAGCCAGGACCGACCCCTAAGCTGTTGACTTAGTAACTTGATGGGATTTTGTAAACTTCGTCCATGTGCATCCAAAGGCAGAATTAGATGTCAGCACTTTTCAAGTTTGGCTTCAATAAGTTTGAGAAGCAGAAGTTGGTGGTAACAGCTGCATTTGGTGGTGGAGGTGAGTTACTCTTTATATACTAGCTAACATCTTCGTAAGTTTTAGCTGTCACTGAAGCAGCTTACAATTTTCAATGGGTTCATAAATGACACCAACCTTGACGTCAACTGATGGTATTATTCAATAATATTCACACTCAAGGACCAAGAGGACTGATGAAACAAATCAGTAACTTGCATACGAAACAAAAAACAAGGTAGAACAGTTATAATATAACCTTCAAATGACGAATATTCACTCAATAGTAAAATGAATTTCGGCACGAAACTAATAAATTTCTACTAATAAATGTGAGGTTGCAGCTTTGTCATCTCTAATGCCTATCACTTCCCTTTTGAATACAAATTTTTGTTGATGTTTTATTGTGTACCCCTTTAATAGTTAAGGGTTTTGTTACTTCCAGTTGACCACTGGAACAAGTTACTATCTGATGGTTATACCTCTAGTATTTGTTCTCTGTGTATTTACAATTTAGGTCTTGATTGAAACGCTGAAGAAAGCCATCGTTTTTGACATATCGGGTTGTCCAACTAATTTTCCTAGACCCCGTCTAGAGATTCCACCTAATCACACCATAGGTCACCACAACAGACCAAGTTTCGGTGAAGTATTATTCGGCATTACATCACAAGAATCCAGTAGTATAAGTGCGTCAGTTGGAGTGATAAAACCTTCTGGCAAAACAAAATATGCTCCTTTGAATGGTGAAGCAGGATCCTGTTGTTCACCTAGGCATAGTAACCAAGAGAATTTCAGTGAAACTATGTTTGACGACAGTGATAAATATGCATGCCAGTTTGCGGCTGAAGTGATTCGCCTTTTATCTCTGTTTTCACAAATTTTGGGAGTGAGTATATTTTGATGTAGTGTTTTTATTGACCAACAGATTATTACAAGTTAACCTGTTGAATATGGCTTGACGAGTGTCAGTAAACCCTAGTAATTATACTACTACTCTTACCAATTAAACACAAGTTTAAATTTTGTTTAGCTTGGAAGCTATGGAATTGTCTTAACTGCGAATTGGATTGAAGTATCATTCTTTCTTGGATTCAAAGTTAAATGTGTAACTGCATTAAATTTCAAGTTTCAGATAGAATTGGAACAGCTCATGCCCAGAAGAAATATGTATTTGATGAAAATTTGTTAAAAGAAAAAGGGATATAAACTTTAAATTGCACTATGTCGACTAACAAATTCCACACCTAAGAGCTCAGCACATCCTAAATAAACCCGATTTAAATCTTGTATTGGATTTCAGTCTATTAGTAGCACGAACTAAAAGGGACTTTATGTTATCCCACAGAGTTAGGATGCTGAATCTACAAATATCAATATTCTGGTAATTTTTGATAAAAGTGCAGTTTTATAATTCCAATCTACATCTCCTTTGTAATTGTGTAGTTATGTAGATAAAACTATACAACAATCTAATTGGAAACGAAAAAATTCCTACTTATGTACATGATCTTTAAACTGTATAAGTTACATATAGCCCAACCTGGAATGTGTCTATCGCAAGTGGAGCTGTGGCTCATTGGTTTAGTGAGATGACCTTTAACCGAAGAGTCGTAGGTTCGAGCTGCTCTCCATCAACGGAGGTTTGGGTAGCTAGGTAGTATCATTAACCTTCACACAATAAGTGTGGCTTATGGCCTGCTACAAGAATGTGTACGAGAATGGCTGTTGCAAATAGTTCAGAACGACACAACATTATCTACTGAATAATTTTTTTCAGTAACAAACTAGTTACCGTGATTTCAAATGAAATGAAATGAGCTAGCAGAAACCGATTTGATCAACTTATGACTCTGCACATGTTTGCTCCATAATTTCAACTAAGCGAATTTAAGTTCAGTATATGAGTGGAAGTTATCTCTGCCAACTGACAGATTTCCGTGATCACATGAAAGCAACCTCAATTCCAGATAACTGCTTCACCGGGTGACAGTGCTATATTCAAACAGATCTAGCTCAAAAAGCTCAAATCTGTAAACCATTCGAATGTAAATGCACTCATAGGGCAGTTTAAACAGACACGAATTCAAGTGACATAGCCAAAAAATATTTATAACTATTTATCTAAGACGACATAATTTCGCTAATGAATAAATATTTTCTCTAAGTTACGTAACCTGAACAGTTCGCTTTCCAGTGTTCAGCTTTTAGTTATTATTCTTAATATTATTTGTCACTTGGTTTCCAAGTACAACACAAGGATTCAGAAGCACCCCTCCAGTGCACTCTGTTCTCTGCAAACCTTTGGACCGGGCACCACGAGTGCCCACAAGCTCTCATTTATTCCTTGCATGATCTCCTCCATGTCACCCTCACCTCGGACGCCCAACTCTTCGTTGCCCATCTGGGTTCCACCCGAGGGCCTGATCTGGCCTGGCACGTGATGTCCCCAGTCGGCCTTCTCAGTGTATGCTCAATCCAACTCATCTCCACTTTCTTCTGTATATTTGTTGAGTTATAGGTTCTTGGTTGGTTTGTTGACCGTCAGAGGTCCTTGTTGCTTATTTTTTCTGGCCATCTGATCCTCAGTGTCAGTATCAAGTGAGCGTAGGCGACAGCTGTTGATGAATGTCTTTAGTTTGTTGGCAATGCTTTTTGTGACATGCCAAGTTTCCGAACCATATGGCAGCACTGACTTGATATTGGTGTTAAAAATCCAGATCTTGTTCTTTGTGGTGAGTGCAGTAGATCTCCACAGTGATTTCAGACTAGTGAATGCCTGCCTTGCTTTTCCGACGCTGGTTTTGACATCCTCGTCTGTGCCTGTGCAGCCCGTAGTAGAAACGATGCTGCCTAGGTAGGTGAAAGAGACTACTTCCTTTAGAATTCTCGCGTTCATGGTGATTGGTGCTTGTTATTGATGCTGTTGTTGTTGGTTGGGTATCTTCATCACCCCCGTCTTCTCTAAGTTCACGTGAAGGAAGTCCCGTCTTCACTGCCTCTCCTGTCAACTTTTTAGTTTTCGCCTGTAGGTCTTCGAGTTTGTGCAATATTAGACATAAATCATCTTCGGCGAAATCCAAATCTTCTGGGGTCTTTTCATCGGTCAAACAGCGTATGCCCCTCTTCTCGCTCCTCACAGTTTGTTGCATGATCCAGTCAAGTCGACCACAATCACGAAGATAATCAGTGATAGTGGGCGTCACCCTTGTCTTACTCTTGTCTTCACTTCAAAGGCGTCACTGAGCTTTCCATTGTGGATCACTTGGCATGTGGCGTTTTCTTCTTCACTTCTTTCTCCAATGTTTTATACGTTGTAGGCAGTTCGTCTTTTCGTTGTGCATCTCTGCACTACACTTGTTCATTTTCTGCTTCACCATCTTCCTCTCCCTGCTCTATCGGCTTCCATGTATCCATCGAGATCCATTCCTTATCTTCTTTCCTCTTCCTTCCCAATAAGGTTATGCAGGTTTCATTCCACATAGCTTTCAAAGAGTTCCAGTGTTCTTCCACACCCAATCCTTCAGGGATGTTGCTCAATGTCTCGCATTTTGTTCTGATGGCTGCCGTGAAGATTTCTTTTGTAGTTTCGTCCTTCAGTTAGTTTCTGTTCCGGGTGTTGAACTTGAACTGTAGTCTATCACCAACTTCTCTGAAGGCTTCCAACTAGATTTGGAAGGTTCCTTGCACTCGATGGTGAGTGGTGTGGAGCTACATCTGCTCGTCTTCGTGATCTTGTGTCCAGTAGACTGCGTCTCCACTTTCTTCACATTGAGATGAAGTCGATCTGATTTTTAGTGTAGTGTGTCCTGGTTTCTGGTGAAATCAACTCCATGTCGCTTTGTGAATATACTTGTGTTTGTACACACTGTCTCCAATCACCAAATCGTTGAATGCCCAGAAGTCTGCAAACAGTTCTCCATTGTCACTCATTTCACCGAGTGCTTCTCGACGCATGATGAGTTCTCTTCCTGTATTGTCCGCTCCCAGTTTGGCATTCATGTCATCTATTAGAATTTTGATGTCGTCAACTGGAGTGTAGTCTTGTCCATCACTGATTGCAGTTGTCTGTAGAGTTAATCCTTCTCCTCTTGATCTGCATTATTTGTAGGTGCGTAGCGTAGCGTAGCATAGCATTGTACGATTGTGACTCTCCTTCCTTTTGCGTTGAACCTTACTGTCATGATCCTGATGCTGGAGGAGATTGGTTGCCACTGCATGAGAGCCTTCGATGCTCTCAGGGACATCATGATATCCACTCCAAAACTCAGTGTGCTCGTGGTTGTCGTCTGGGTGACAATATCGGAGTAGATTATTGACTCTCCAGTTGACAGTTGAGGGAGTCCACTTCCATTCCATCTGCTTTCGCAGATTCCTAACACTTCACTGCTATACCTCCTCATCTCTTTGGCAATCTGGACAGCCTTGCCAGTCAGCCTCAAACATTGTGAGGACATTCTATTTCCCCATCCTTACTTTTGCTTTAATCGAGAGAAGACACATCGGCGAATTGGCTTCCCGAACGCTTTCCATTGTGGACCACTTGGCATGTGGCGTTTCCTTCGCGAATTATATCTCCAATGTTTTCTCCAGTGGCTTCCACCGACCGGCGTCATTTCGCCTCCCTGATTCCATGGAGGAATAAGTTTGTTTTCATTTTCTTTGTGCTTTGAAGTTTTTTTAGCGATTGGATTGGTTTTCCGGGGTTGTGTTGCAGGCTTTATGCCTAACTTTCCCTCTTTATCGGGGCTTAGTATCGACTAGTAACTAGTGAACTAGTTAATCAGGCGAGAATAAAGGTGCAGGCACCCGGATTTGGACCCCATGCCTTTCGTCCTGCAGTCCATTGGTCTACCAGTGAGCTAAACCGCTGATGAATCTGGTCTAAATTGTTGGCATTTTAAATCAACCAAATCGCGTGAGGCAAATACAGCAGTCATATGGAGCGAAGTTCAACTGTTCACCTTGCTACGTTGTATATGTTTTTCTTAGTTTATAGTTGTATGTGATAATGACTGGTTGATTTCCAACATAATTCATGTAAACATCAAATTTGGTGGTTGGGAAACCATTGAGGTATGAGAAATAACTGCAAGAACTCATATTTTACAGAGGATTCGTTATTTTAATAACTCAATGGAATATGTTAGAAACTCCATTCGTCAGTTTCTTCTTCCAAGGCAGCCTGAAGATCTTTCTCTTTGTACTATAAGCGACTGTATGTATGTCATACCAAGAAACTTTCACAATTGAATTGAAAAAATCTTTATTGGCTACACTGATATCAAAGGGTTTTTATAAGCCACTTATCAAAATGCTTACAATTGATAAAATGAATGATCGCTCACAAAGACCACACAGTAAGTATCCAAATAAACATTATCTCCATTTGTCACATTTTTACGTAACCAGAGTGAGTATGTAAGCCACTCCATACATCAAAGAAACAATGTAGCAAACATTTGTGTTATTATTGCTTCTAAAATGACGCTACTGAACACATACCGAAGCAAATAGTCAGTTGGTCATCAGTATTCTTTGGGAAGTTAATTCCATCCGACGTTCTATGCGCAGAAAACTAGGGTTATTTTGGTTAACCATAAATTTATTCCTCATAGTCATGTGTTAGATATCGCTTGATATCTGTGTTTTGTTTTCTTTTATTCCAGTCTCACTGTAGCTTAAAAGATTTGTGTGAACGAATCTCACCAGACTACAATATTCGTTTCCCAACATTACTAGAAGAAGGATTCCAGACACTCGTCATTTATTTAAATAGGCTAATATTGCCGTTGTTATTCAGAGGCTGTGCAGGACGCAAAGGTACCTGTTTTAAAAAAAAATAATTATTGAAAGTAGTCGGCATATTACTGAACTTCTTGTTTATTATAATCATAATCCATCAATGTTGAGAAGTACGAAACCATTATTTTTTTACCCTAGGCTTCCTAGTGGAACATAGGGCTTCAGTAGCACCCCTCCAGTGCACTCTGTTCTCTGCAAACCTTTGGACCGGGCACCACGAGTGCCCACAAGCTCTCATTTCTTCCTTGCATGATCTCCTCCATGTCACCCTCACCTCGGACGCCCAACTCTTCGTTGCCCATCTGGGTTCCACCCGAGGGCCTGATCTGGCCTGGCACGTGATGTCCCCAGTCGGCCTTCTCAGTGTATGCTCAATCCAACTCATCTCCACTTTCTTCTGTATATTTGTTGAGTTATAGGTTCTTGGTTGGTTTGTTGACCGTCAGAGGTCCTTGTTGCTTATTTTTTCTGGCCATCTGATCCTCAGTGTCAGTATCAAGTGAGCGTAGGCGACAGCTGTTGATGAATGTCTTTAGTTTGTTGGCAATGCTTTTTGTGACATGCCAAGTTTCCGAACCATATGGCAGCACTGACTTGATATTGGTGTTAAAAATCCAGATCTTGTTCTTTGTGGTGAGTGCAGTAGATCTCCACAGTGATTTCAGACTAGTGAATGCCTGCCTTGCTTTTCCGACGCTGGTTTTGACATCCTCGTCTGTGCCTGTGCAGCCCGTAGTAGAAACGATGCTGCCTAGGTAGGTGAAAGAGACTACTTCCTTTAGAATTCTCGCGTTCATGGTGATTGGTGCTTGTTATTGATGCTGTTGTTGTTGGTTGGGTATCTTCATCACCCCCGTCTTCTCTAAGTTCACGTGAAGGAAGTCCCGTCTTCACTGCCTCTCCTGTCAACTTTTTAGTTTTCGCCTGTAGGTCTTCGAGTTTGTGCAATATTAGACATAAATCATCTTCGGCGAAATCCAAATCTTCTGGGGTCTTTTCATCGTCAAACAGCGTATGCCCCTCTTCTCGCTCCTCACAGTTTGTTGCATGATCCAGTCAAGTCGACCACAATCACGAAGATAATCAGTGATAGTGGGCGTCACCCTTGTCTTACTCTTGTCTTCACTTCAAAGGCGTCACTGAGCTTTCCATTGTGGATCACTTGGCATGTGGCGTTTTCTTCTTCACTTCTTTCTCCAATGTTTTATACGTTGTAGGCAGTTCGTCTTTTCGTTGTGCATCTCTGCACTACACTTGTTCATTTTCTGCTTCACCATCTTCCTCTCCCTGCTCTATCGGCTTCCATGTATCCATCGAGATCCATTCCTTATCTTCTTTCCTCTTCCTTCCCAATAAGGTTATGCAGGTTTCATTCCACATAGCTTTCAAAGAGTTCCAGTGTTCTTCCACACCCAATCCTTCAGGGATGTTGCTCAATGTCTCGCATTTTGTTCTGATGGCTGCCGTGAAGATTTCTTTTGTAGTTTCGTCCTTCAGTTAGTTTCTGTTCCGGGTGTTGAACTTGAACTGTAGTCTATCACCAACTTCTCTGAAGGCTTCCAACTAGATTTGGAAGGTTCCTTGCACTCGATGGTGAGTGGTGTGGAGCTACATCTGCTCGTCTTCGTGATCTTGTGTCCAGTAGACTGCGTCTCCACTTTCTTCACATTGAGATGAAGTCGATCTGATTTTTAGTGTAGTGTGTCCTGGTTTCTGGTGAAATCAACTCCATGTCGCTTTGTGAATATACTTGTGTTTGTACACACTGTCTCCAATCACCAAATCGTTGAATGCCCAGAAGTCTGCAAACAGTTCTCCATTGTCACTCATTTCACCGAGTGCTTCTCGGCGCATGATGAGTTCTCTTCCTGTATTGTCCGCTCCCAGTTTGGCATTCATGTCATCTATTAGAATTTTGATGTCGTCAACTGGAGTGTAGTCTTGTCCATCACTGATTGCAGTTGTCTGTAGAGTTAATCCTTCTCCTCTTGATCTGCATTATTTGTAGGTGCGTAGCGTAGCGTAGCATAGCATTGTACGATTGTGACTCTCCTTCCTTTTGCGTTGAACCTTACTGTCATGATCCTGATGCTGGAGGAGATTGGTTGCCACTGCATGAGAGCCTTCGATGCTCTCAGGGACATCATGATATCCACTCCAAAACTCAGTGTGCTCGTGGTTGTCGTCTGGGTGACAATATCGGAGTAGATTATTGACTCTCCAGTTGACAGTTGAGGGAGTCCACTTCCATTCCATCTGCTTTCGCAGATTCCTAACACTTCACTGCTATACCTCCTCATCTCTTTGGCAATCTGGACAGCCTTGCCAGTCAGCCTCAAACATTGTGAGGACATGCTGGGTCCTCATTCTATGGAAAGGTTTTTTGGGGTGTTCACTATATAAAGCCAGAGGGAAAATACTGGAAAAGGCGTTTTGAGATATGGGAACTGTTTTGTCCGGGCTGAAAACGGCTTTCGCCTGTCTAGGAATTGTTGAAGGTAAAAAAGGGAAGACTGGTGGATCAGTTCTTATGGAATTTTGAGTGCTAATAACTGATGCTTGACCTTAGTGAATTCGTGTTTACTCAGAGGTTTTCATTCAGTGCCTGTTTACTCTTGTTCCTCAAGCTGCAAACATTTCTACCTTTTTATATCCGATGTAATTTCTTTTCAAATCGCACATATCGATAAAGATCTTCCTTCCATGCAATGTTTTTTTTCTGCTGATAAGTTTGTTCTTTGCACACCAGGGTCAGTCGAGCGTGCAAATTCCGATTTGTGTCATCAACCATTACAAGTGAATACTTTACTTACTATCAATTTATTCAGTGATGATAACTTGTTTCTGAAAAGATGTGTAAAAATCGAGATAATGCTTCGTGAGCTAGGTAATTGATAAAGCATCACATAAAATATAGTTGAAATTAGAAAAGATTTTTGCACTCACGTTTTCCACCCAATCTTTAATCGAAAAGCTAATATAATGTGAAATTGTCAAGAAAATGTTAGGAATGGCATGCTGTCTCATCTTATGCACTAGACTGTTATTTGTCTTGAATGTATGTATGTCGTATGCTTTAAACTAGAGTCTATCGACTGTTGAACAACAGCTTCTAAGGAAATTTCACCAATTTTTAACTTGATTCTTTTTAGAAGGATGAAATAGAAAGGGAAGCTTTTCTTCACAATTGTATTCAATATTATTCTCTAAAATTTCTCTTTATTCCAATAATAGTTTACCTTCCTGATAACTATTTAACCTCCATAGACTCGCCAACTCTTTCAAGAGACAATGTTTTCTATGCACTGGATGTATGCATAACAGCCCTATTTGCAACTGACAATCTCTCTAGCGTTGCTGAGCAAAGAACTACACGTAATTTACCTGCTGTGACCAATCTGATGCAGCAGCAACAACAACAAACAATTGGATCTAGTCCGTCTGGTCCTCTGTCTGGCAAACCAAAGATAAAATTAATAAAGGTCAAACTGGTCCTTCAGGCTTTGAACTGCGCATCAACCCAAGTATTTCATTTAATCGTCCAGCTACTGGATCAGTAGCACAGGACAATGCTTCTTCCATTACTACTACTACTACTACTACTAATAATAATAATAATAATAATAATAATAATAATAATAACACTTTGATAAAGCTGGTTAATTTATCCAATTTGTCGACAGATCATGAGGGTGGTTCTTATACCAGTTTAACGCGTCTACTAAGCCCGTCATTAGTTGCAACTCTACCGGATGACTACGGTCAGTCAATTGCTCCAGTACAAGTTAGTGTATCCAGTAAGTCTCAAGGGAAACAGGAAAGTTTTCAGTTGAAGTCACGTCCTTCAGTTATACCACCCTTGAATAAAACAAACATTTTAACTCAGAAAAACCGGCAACAAGTGTATCATTCTAAACTTTTAGATCATTCTTCAGTCTGTTTTGGCTTTCCGATGCAAAACGTTAGAAATTTCAAAGCTGACTTTTCACACAGGTAATGGACTCGTATACATTACATTACTAATATTCGGTAACAATTAGAATTCATTGATTTTTTCGTATATTTGTTAATGGTGAGGAACTCCACATATCTTCTACCTCATTTCACTTTGCTTTAGCGACAAGAAAAATGTGTTATTACTTGTTTATAAATTACTGTAAAATAGGTGTTGTATTATCTGACTAAAGTTGGAGTTATCAATGAGTCATCTGTTTTGCCACTTAGTCTCCAAATGAAAGAAAATCAGCAAAGTGGCTGAAACAAAATAAATGAATTCGTTGTTACCTAATAATAATTGTAATTCTCCGATTTTTACTGAAGTGAATTGTTAGTTCTCTATTGACATATAAGCTGTTTACATGAGTGTCTCGATATCCCCATGAATTTTATTTTTATGTTGTCTGGTTGGTGGCTAGTAATTAAACAAAGGATGAGCGTTTGAAACGATGGGTGTTAGGTCTCAGCATCAGAGGGGAAATGATCATATCGGATTGCAGGTACATCCAGTCAATGAGTTCTAAATATCTCGAGTCATTTAACATTTATCTCGTTCAACCCAACGGCTGAATGGTTAGGTAGGTTCTCATCACTAAATATATTTACAACAAAGATGCATAAAATATACCCCACCCTTATTTCAACAGTTTTATTCCAATAAGCCAGAAACATAGTTTCAAATAAAGTTGTGGCAACTGCAAGTAGTAGGGAAGAGGTTACATACAAAATGAATGGTGCTCTGAAACAGTTTTATATGAGTACACAACTAAGTTCACTTTGTCAAATAAGCTGATTACTAAGATAGTTGAACTTCCTCAAGCTCCCCTGTCATATTATCTATACCTACATTTATTAGTTCACATGTTCTAGTTTTAGCACAAACGCTCTTTCAGAAATGTTCATGTCCACATATGTGATCATGTTCCAAAAATATTCAGTTGAAAGATGCAAGTTCTTCAACAGCACAATACCCTATCACGATGTTACCTTCAAGTAATAAACCAACAAGTGGACTTGAATACTCCTCGTTTACTTGAGGTGATCAATATCAAACCATTCAAAGTCGGTCTGTTTACTCAGGAAAAAACTATTAGTAACTTGTTCTTGCTGTGGTACACAGTGTATCTTGAGTCGTATGCTACCATCATTTCATCTCCCTTTATTTCCACTCATTTCAAACTTTGTTTTATCTATCTGGTTATTACTCATCCGCTTAGTTGGAATTATTTCACATTTTGTAACAGTTACACATCCCATAACCTTGATTCTTCTCATTCTGAAGACACGTTTCTAACTTGTTAATATAAGGGAATAGGGATTTTAATTGAAATAAAAACTCTGATCACGGTGAAATTCGAAGAAAAGGCCTCTTTTCGATCTTAAATATTCATTTCTACTGGTTTTAATACTTAAAAATTGATTACCACCCTTAAAGCTAATATTTTACGACCGAACAGGTTGAAATATGATGCAGTTTCTCATATAATTTGATATTAGTTATTTAAAGTTAGTTGAAACCAGCTGATGAGAATCTGCGAAATAACTTAAACTTCTGTTATTCTTCTTCAATTCCACTAAAAGCTAAGATGACTCTTGGTAGTTTCTGATATTCTTCTTACGCACTAGTTGCAGGACTACAACTCAAGTGCAAATACTCAACCAAGCCATGTAAGCCAGATTAACAGGCAACATAGATTTTTAGTTAAACAATTGTCACTTCTGCACGGTAAAACGTAAAAAAAAGTTGTAGATGGGAAGCAAACTTATGAATATACCTATAAAATGGTGTAATAAAATATGTTTTGCTGCAGTCTATTTCGGTTTGTCGTCCACTAAAATTTGGTTATCCACGAGATATATTTTCTTTTTCTGGTCTCCCCTTAATTGACTAATGACTGATGAATTTGAGAGTTTCAGCAAATTTCAACGTTGTTTTCGTCATCAGTGATTGTCATCTAAATGACACTTGAAAGCCAAAAATTAATGTGCAGCATTTTTGTTTTATTCTGGAATATCTTAGCAGTAGGCAGTTGGTTGCTCTCCAGTGATCAATCGATGTGAGTTGTTACTCCTTTTGAGATGTAACCAAGATCCTCATTGCTTTGGAAGGAAACTTCAAATTAAGCAGAACGTTTTCAGTCTATTGATATGAAAGCAGTAAGCAAGTTTCGTTTTTGACTTGAAACCTCAATGAAAAAATAAAATTTCTGTTATCAGCTAAGCATCATTTAATGGTGTCATTCTGTATCATTCCGTAACCAAACCCATTAATAAGAAGTGCAACATGCTTATCATCAAACTTGGATTCTGACTCTATATTGTAAGAAACTTACGATTAGAATTTATAGTTCCCACCCTGAAAAGTCTCAGTAGTGTGCAGTGAAAGAAAGCAAATAATGTGATGTCATAAGCATCACTTTGACAGCGCTTCTGAAGACAAAAGTAAAAGGCCACTATTCTGTCCTCTTACCATTTACTTAGGTAGCTAACAGTCTAGAGCCATATAGCTGATATTTGAATACGACACTACTTTATAATGTGTACTTTCTTGTAATTTCATTCAATACCATTGACCCTTCTTTTATTGTTGCTAGTTCTTCCATTAAATTGACAGGTTAGGATTTCTGGGTCTAAAGTTAATTCTTGTGGCTTATTCACGTCACACAACTGTTCGGATGAAACTACTGGTTGCTGCATTAACACAGCTAGCTTTAAATGGTCAAAATGGTATTCAGTTGTGGAAATTTTTCGATTTTCTTGTCACATACAGACCACCATTATTTGTACACCTTTTACCGTTCATACGATTTAAAGTAAGTGTTGTTTATTAATTAGAAATTTTTTGAATGTCTCCCATTCTAAAAGTTATGCATTGGCGACGAAATTGATCAAGCCAGTTTCAGCTCCTTAGTGACAATGGAAGGATTATATCTTTAGCACGGAAAAATTCACCTCTTTCCATCCAGTGCGACCTAACTTCCAAGTTATCACATTGTAGAAGTGGCTATTTTGTTGATACACTCATTCTGACGGTATTCAGTCTCGGGATTGATTTTTCATTCATAAGGGCGTCGCTGATGAGTACTGAAAATCACAAAACCCAGGGCTTCCTATCAATTACCCTTAATCACTTAACACTAAACTCTTCACTCAGTTAGTAGCCACATTACGAAATGATCGAACGAACTCGGTTAGTATTTAGGACTAGAGAAAATGAAATTGGTAACTCATTTGTTATCCATCAATGCACATCTATAGCCTAACACAGAAAATCAAATTACTGCTACGGTGCATGGCTAATAGTTACGATAGGTAAACAAGACAATAATGTATGCAACGTATATAACAACACTAAACAAAATATTAAAAATTCTTCAACCTTTTCAAAACCATACGTATTAATAAACATGTAATAATAGTAAAAACAACCAGCGAAATAAGTAGTCATGGCAACATTTTAGGGGGATTCAATTATCTGGAAATGAAAGAAAAGCGATTGTCCGAATGCTGGATGTGTTAAAAATACCTTAGGCTTTATTGATGTTATGCATTCTAAAAATAGATGTAATTAAACTCAGAGAGACAGACGAACTGACACTGTATACCTAACTGAAGTGAATTCATACGCAACACTAAACAAGGAAGAAACCGACAGAAAAAGAATGATAGTGAAGTATGCAAAAGTCCATCAGATGATAAAGAATTATCAAACGAAGATTGGTAAAATTATTTATTCTTCTTGGCAATAAATATAAGATACATTCTTGCCATTATGATTGATTCACGGTCATGTCACTGAAAGTCTTCAACGACTAGTTTTCTGAAAAGTCTGGTAGGTGGTCTATGCGATTAAGACTAACAATCAGACTTTATTGGTCGGTGCTTCAAATCGTTCTAGAATTCCTCAAATTTTTCCGGACTGAATCCTACTTCAGATGCGTAGTACGCTGAGTTAGGTTGTGCTTTGGTATGCGCAACTTATCTTCAAGCCGGCATAAATAGACGCGTCTTCACAATCTCGTATATTGACTTACATTCCTCGCCCAGTAATCTCCGTTTGACCTCAACATTTCAAATACTATGGTTCCACCATACATGGGTTGTAATAAGTAGGGACTTCTGATCAACAAACGTTAACCTTCCTAAACAATGTGTTCATGCTTTGATTTGAAGTCGCATATCTCATCAATCCCAAAAACAGCCGATATTAGGGAACTCCTAACGAATCTTTCTCCATTCAAGCTGATAGTCCATTGCAAATCATTACACTATGGGTGGTGCAGTACCATATCATCAACGGTCCGTGATAGAACCGCAGAATTTTGCAATCCTTGAAAGGACCAATTAAGAGTGAGAAGGCTAATTGTCTTATCTCTCAAAATCTCCAACCACCGGATTTGGTTATCATGAGAACTTTAATCGGAAAGTCCATATTGTTTTACCAGGCTCAGAACAACTATCAGCAAAAGCAACAGAGTGAACTGCAGCACAGTAGACCCGACTTTTAATAGGAAATCGGATACCACGCTGGTGTCATAGATGGCTTCAGTTGGCAAAAAGAAAAAGTGCTCTTTATATCTGGGCAGAGATTTCGACAGTTTCTGACCCACCGTTGTATTTTTCTGGGCAAAGCACCAACGCAAACCAGTCCTGGAGCAACAGCTTGTATTTGAATTGTGAGAAACGTATCTTAAACATTTACGAATTGCTAAATTGCTGAATTGCCATTTCGCGAAGACTGTATCCTCGCAGCATCTTCAGCTAAACAGGATCATACCATCTGCGTACTCTAGGTTTACTTAGGAGTCTTCTGTGACAATGACAACACTGATTGCCAAGTTGAGGCTACAATGTATTTATTTTGTCAGTAAACGAAGACGATTCTCCAACTGAATTAACTTTTCGAAATTCGGTGTTCGTATTTTGCACACGTGACTCCAAGGACACCTCGAGATTTCATTCAGGACCGACTATCAGTTTTGTCATAAGTGACTTCATAATATTCATTGAACTAGAGAATATAATGACCGATTCAAACAATTATGGCTAACGAGTAAAAATGAATAACCGTGTTCTTCGTTATCAGAATAGAATGTGAGTTGTTTGTGTAGAAATTACCATAGGTTAATATCATTTCAATATGTGACAATGATATGTCGTTTTGTATGACATTGAAAGTTCTTCATTGAAGCGCCCTGTCAAGAAAACGTAACCTCACCTTTTAGCTAATCAAAAGTAGTCAGTAGATTAATAGTGTGTTTTCTTGATAACCTTTCATATTCTCATACTGTCGAAAAGCAGCTATCACGTTTCTAGCGGGGGTCCCTGTAAAACATATATGATGATAAGAACTTTTCACTTAGGATGTGAATACTCCAAAAGCTCAAGCTGCTTTTTTATGATTGATGGCTTGCAAGGAAAATAATTGCATAAACCTAATAATTAGGCACATCTTTAACAATTTAATACTTCCAGTTGTAACATCAAGAACAAAATATTCAGCGAAGAGACTCTTTTCAACGTATTCATTTTCAAGCTGTACATTCGTATATATATGATATTTAAAAATCATATCCCCTAAGGAAAACTAAACACTATATGATGATGATGACAATAATAATAAATCGGTTGATGGCATATGCATTTGTGATAATGATAACAAAGTAGATTACATGATATATGAAATGGTTCATGGAAGGTATATAACTCAGAAGGGGTTGAAAAAATTGATGAGAGTGGTAAATCAATTAAGTATTATGCAATAAGATTAGACGAGTTGGTCAAGAAGAAATCAATGTTTTATAAAAAGACTAAGATAATTAAGTGAAATAACACCGAAAACTAATCAAAGTGAAGGCAATTATAATAACAACAATAATGATAAAGGAAGGGCACGTCTGTAACAAGCTAGACTAAGCCAGTAAAACCATGGATTGACCTGATCTCTGAAGTTGGTTATAATTTTCTTTTACCCTTTGGATATGAGTTGTTTTAAAACATACATTTTGAAAGCATCTTTTTCGAACATCTTTTCTGGCGTAGCTATATAATTGATTAGGTTTTCGTTTGAGATCCTAATCAACTGGACATTAAGAAGGTCTAGTTTTAACCGGCATGAAAACCAACCAAAGGCTGAAGTAAGAAGTTGAGAATCGTGATCTAACAACGGATGATCAAGTAATCTTGGATTGTTGGTAAAATAGTTTTCAACATCTGTCTATGCAGTGTTAACCGTAAACTAGTTGGTCTAAGCACAAACCATTAACCAAAACAAAAATTATTAACTACAACTCAGCGAGATGTCAAATAGACAAACACAAAGAGCATATAATCTAAAAGTACTACAAAGCGGTCCAATTTGAAACACCTGATTGTAGTGTGGAAGTCAAGGAAAGACAAGTAGCATTGTAATAGGGTGAAGTGGGAGGGGCAAAACGCTTAACTAAGTATTGCATTTGAACTGAAAAAGAAAATACTAGTTCCTAAAGTCCTTTACACACTAATAATTTGTTTCATTTCGGATAAGCCATTGTGGATTTTGTTACTGTTTTAACTAATGATCGAAGCACAATAATATAAAAGCTGTTCATAACACACAACTAAACGAACGAGTGAGAACTACATATCATGTGTTTAACTCGTGTACTAATCAATCATATCCTTGTGATTTTCAACTAACTTTGTATTTCATGTTTAAAGTCATGAACCAATTCGGTTTAAATGGTCCCGTACAAACTGTGTAAGTGAAACTGGATTCGGAACGATAACAATGAAATTAAAGAACTCTTGTTTTAATTTTCTATAATATATGAGATTCTTCTTTGAATCCTTATGCTTATTATTTTGTAGATGGCACTACTTCAGTGTGCGAGTCAAGGAGAGCAAGCATACCAGCAGATTGTTAATCAAAAATTAATTGGATTACATCTGCCTATTCCACAAACTATCGCCTCTGTTTTAAGAAGTCTGTCAAATGAACTGCAAATGATCAATGCCGACATCAAGGTATGCTTCTTACTTTTAACTTACGGGTGGAATTAAGCATGAATCGCTAAACCAATGGTGAACTTTGATGTGAGAAAAGTCACAAGCGTAAATATTGCCCATACTGATTTAGTTCCAGCTGATGTGAAGACGCCAGCCATTAGGATTGCGAGATTTGAAATATTTGCTGTAGAGGTGCATACTGTCTAAATGTATCATGCGTTGGCCAGTCATACATGGATCTGAAGCTAAGGGAGTAATCTTGTTTGAGTTGTGTCCTGCTACACTTTTGTGTTGATAATAATTATGCTTACACAATTAGTTCATGATTCCATTTACTTTAGGATGAATCAAATGACTAATTTTTACAAAATAGAATGTCTTATTCTTGTCTACTGTTATGATTGCTTCTGTTTCGTCACCAGCTTTGTAAACTGTAATGCTAAAAATGGAATCTCATTTGATCAGTCAGACTTATTTTTTGCCATTGCATCTGCGTTTCTAATCAACTGATTAAACTTCTTGGATCACATGAAAAAAGGGAAAATATACTCTGTGCAAAGTAATTAGTTATACATGATACTGTTAGCCGTTATCCGATTAAACAAAAACAGATCCTAGATGAGCAAAATCATATTAGTAATTCACCACCGAAATAACATAAATTATCATAATCGCATGCAGAATTCACTGACTAAATAGCTCATTCACATCTCCATCTATGTTCACAGGTTGAATGATCCCTAGTCTCTACTATTTTTGTTAGATTTGGAACTTTTTTGCATGAAAATCCTCTGACCAGCAGATGCTGTTTACAGTTGGTCAAAGGCAAAGAATGGTAAAGAATAATACTCAACCTAGTTGATGAAATTGTTTACGCCACAAAGTAACTGGTACCAAATAGCATGAATGCTGTCGCAAACATGAATCAGCTGAATAGCTAACTCACAGCCTCTGTCCATAGCAGAAAAATTACTTGTGATATTTTCCAGTACGTTTTTACAAACTGCGTGCATATATAACTCATTTTATTGAAAACCGTATATTTAAGATAATATTAAGACCATTTCATATGACAAATGTATATGTTTTGTCTTTTCATCTCCTTAAAATTAATCCATAGATTTTCAGTAAACAAACCTATCGTGAAATAACTCCACCCAGGACTTCAAGTTTACATGATTCATTGCGTCGTCTACGCTCCTCAGATAATACTAGCTCGGCCTCTCCTCACAGTAATAAACATGCCAAAGTAACTAAAGTTCTGTCGAAGGATACAGGAGAATACCTGCATAAATCTACATACAAAATGTCCTCTAAAGATCAAATGAAACAGAAGCCGAGATTGCACGTTCTGTCTTCTGTTACATCGGACTCCACATGCAGCATAGATTATCGCGAGGAAAACATCATTGGAATCTTACGTGAGTTTATCACAATGGTGTTTGTCTTAATTCCCCACTCTATCCTGATTTTCGAGTTACACATATAATAAGAACTATTCATTTTTAAAAATGCGCCTTAATAGTGAGGTTATTCAATTACTTCATAATTTCGATGACTTGGTTAGTTTGAAGATAATTTTCGCTCCAAACTAATTTAAGTTTAAAAGCATTCAATCATCATGCAGAACTCAACAACCTTTTCGAAATGTTAACTCTCGGAGAGTCGGAAACTATCTAGCAAACAATCAAGTCCCCTAAACTGTCACTTCAATAAAAACCAGATGACCTCATAAGATAATTGAGTTCAACTGCGCTAAAAAGTGATGCAAAAAATCTATGACCAACTTTATGAATGACTGGACTGTCATTGATACAATGATTTAGGCATGCAGTACATATTGCCATATTCGATAAACATACTCGTTTTTCATCGATACGAGTATTTCATGAGGTTTTATATGTTTGGCCAACAGCACTGCCCACTGCATGTACTCTTATATATTGGTTTCGATAAATGTTTTATGATGGACATAAATCATCAAGGTTGATGTTGCTTTTCTGAAACCAAATAAAAACTAATTCGATTTTCGTTTCAGATTTGGACAGCCAGTTACGTGGTAGAAAAAGTATTAACCAGGAATATAGGCCAACTGTGGCAATAAGAGATCCACGAAAACGTATTGATGCCCACGAAGGTAGTTATCTCTTAATGAGAACCAGAGATTATAATCAGACAGATCCAATCCTAACTGGTAAGTACGAAACTCAAATATGTTTACTACTTACCTCTGAAAACTAGGGGCATTATTTTGTATAGACCTAAATATGTTGTAATCTAAGTACCTAGTTTCATCAAAGATAATAAACATTATTACCACACAATCTCTTTAGTTTTGTGTGTGACCAGGACAAGTGCTACTGGATTATCTCATTACAGGATGACATGATTTCCTTGAGCGATACAAGTGAATCTAAAGACCACCCCAGCAACTACTGAGATAACTAATCATGTTTCTTTATTCAATAAAAGTCTACCTTTCCAGGCGAAATAGTGGAACCTGATTGGTTATTTGAGCAGTTGCTAGGATGGCCTTTAAAATCATTCAGCGATACAAAATCCGAGAGCTGAATTCCGCTTCTGTCTGTGTTCTAACTCTTCAGAAACGGGACCTCTTGATCTCTTTCACAATCAATGCAGGACGTGCAAATCTTGTACCTGGTCAGGACAAATGGTCGGCATGTTACAACTTCAGCATCTCAGCATTTAAGTAAATTTGCACCGTGATAATTAAAATCATTCTATTTAAAGGTGTTTCACGTTATACCTGTTAGGAATTGCGGTATAGTGAGTAGATCCAATGCTTTCCTTAGGCATCAAAAATACATTAGTTAGCGTTGTTAAAAAATTCTTCATCGTGAAACAAACTCCTTAGTACGATCCCTTGTTGAATCCTACAAGAGATTCGAAATGCTGAGCATTTTTCTCTGATTACAACAAATCCAGACACTTGTCGAACTGAGAGAAAAGAGGAATCACATGTAGGGGATAGTTGGACAACGGGTTAAACTGAAACCACTTATATTAGCTCCGCGTTTGTCTTATATTTTTGGCATTCTGCTGTTGGTATTTTTGAAAACCAACATAACATAATAACTAACTCACTAGTACACACAAGTATAATCCCTTATATGCGTTAGCTGGTTGGAGACAATCGGCAGGAAACCCTGAACCTAGGTTTCTTGCTTGATGGCACTCTTCAACAAGGCCTCGAGGGAAGTGGTGTCTCCTCTAAGATTCAAACCCACGTTACCCAGTTGCAGTCAGCGACGTTACCACTGAGTTATTCGGGCCGAGATTGACATTCTGCGGGACGGGATTAGATGCATTGACTGGTCACAAGAGAGCAACCAATCGAATGTTGTCTAGTCCTGAGTGCTGACCTGATTTTATCGATCCCTTGTATTTATATAACCGGTCTACATAGCTTATGACACAATAAAATATTTTCTAAAGAAAACGGAGCAGTTTTGACAGTTACTATCCCTACTTTTCTTCCACAGCTTCAACCGAAAGTCTTGTAAGGAAAGTCAGAAAACAGTACACAAAAGGATCCAAACACAGTAAGTTTTCATTTTATCAAGAATTAAGATGAGGTATTTGTAAATTACTGTACACACTGGTACTTCTGGGAAAAGGTTACTCGTAGGATTTTTTCCAAGATTTATTTGTATTGAATGCTGAAACCAATTGAAAAATCCATCTAAGCAAATTAACCTCTATCAAATACAAAGTATCATATTGTTGGAATTTCTTTCCATGGATAGTCATAATCAGATATCACGGTCTTTGTAACATTAGGTATTGATGGGTAGAGAAAGAGAAAATAAAACGATTTTGAATGAATGAATGGGTAGTGGTCATTTGTGTGAACCACTTTAAGAATTCTGACGTCGAAAACATGACCACCAAAAACGGTTATGACTGGCTGATAAAAGTCAACGACGCTGTATTAAATAGTTCACAATGGCTTAAATGAGTCGTAGTCTTATCTACTAAGTCGAGAGAAATCGGAATCAACACTAGGCTCTAACTGAAGGCACTCATGTTTTCCAACTGCATTTTAGTGTACTGTCGCAGAGAATTATGCTTAGCTGTCAGACAATTAGATAAACTTGGCATAGAACTTGGTACACTTTTAATTTAAGAGTCCAGGTTGTTACATCTGACAACATTACAATGAAGTGAAGTCAAGAAGCAAACAGCTAAAAATATAGGAATAAGAAAAATGTTAAAGAAAAAGCGAAGAGCATTGGTTAAAACGAGAAAATAACTGGTATAGTGAGATATTAAAATTTCAGATACAGCTTAGATAAACCTGTTCCAGAGCTAGCTATTTTCAGCTATATCTAAAGTACATTTAGTCATTGTTGTTATCTTAAAGAACCCTAGAGAAGAAACCTGTGACTAGCTGTTTTTATTCTTGTTCTACTCCAGTCCAAATAAATGTTGGTTTGATAATAATAAAATATAGCCGAATGGTACGTGGGGCATTTAAAGCAACCTTCTAACTTTACTTACAAACTGGAATTCTTCGGTTCTCCCACGTATGTAAACCATAAATTCTCAAATCCCAACTGATAATGCATCTGTTTATGATACGAATTTAGTTGTGATTATGAATATTTCCAACAAATTGTAATTGATTATCTGGGTGATGTAGACTTTTCTTGTTAAACAGATTTGTTCATTGTTTTCATTCTTTGACATTGCTTATCCAAAACACATCTCCAGGTTACCCCATATACAAATTCGATGCGGGAGTGGAATTAACATTTCTTTTCAGCTATTGTCTTTTCTTCGGAAATTATGTTCTCAAATCTAATGTCTTTCATATCACCTCTCTTTCTTTCTATGTAACTCAAGTCCAAATGAGTCCAAGTCGGCTGCAGGAGCTCAAGTATGCTATAAAAATCTTTATACCGATACTTTGAAACCAAGATTATCGAATGATTCAAACGCAGATAATCAAAGTGAAAATTCACTAGTGAGTGAAGGTTTAATAACGCCTGTGGGACCAGCGGCAGCTGCGGCAATCGCCTCATCACTTTATGGCTCCGGTAAGCTAATATTCGTGGAATTGGTTAGTGTGATATTTTCATGAAGTTCAATCTCCCTAAACTCATCCTTAGTGCATGCAGAAGTCCCACCCATAAAATATTGGAAAGATATGCGAGGGATTAATCCCCTTAATGATCAAAAATGTGCCACAAAATACGAAGTACTTCGTTAATAAAAGAGTGATATTCAGAAAAGCGGAAGTCTGTTTGATGAGTCTCAAGAAACAGTAGTATTTTAGTTTAAGATAACCTAAGACTAAGCCCCTCAGTATCACGCAGACGTTATTTATGGAGTAATGTTTATACACTGTCCTAGTGATTACTAGTCAAGCTAATTTACATATTCAAAAAGACTAGTCAATCTGGTTTCCGCTCTGCCTCGCTTCTGTGGATAATGCTGACAATATCCTGAGTATTGGCAACCCGACCAGTTAAAATTCTGGTGGTTAGTGGTTTTCTAGTGTTGTTTCAAACTTCACGGTCGACATACCCTTGTAAAAAAAACATAATGCGCAGAGGATTTCTGATAAACATCTGTAACTAAAGCTTTTTAAATCCACTCCTGACTTTTTTCTCCCAACATACTGGGTTCAGGATTTACAAATTAGCAAAGGTAATATCTAGCTTACAAACAGAAGTGAGGTTTTTTAACAATGAAGCATGTTATTGATGAGATTTATGTTGAAACGTGACAGCACTTCAACATGGTCACGGTCGATCGACTTGTAAATCATTGTCGAGCAAAAAAATATACAGGCAGGTTGTTTTACTAGGTCAATGTATACAATATTTAATAATTTATGCTTTGTCTAATTAATGCTTTAATCTTTATTAGGTGCCCCCTATCTACATGCACGCGTACGAGCACGTCAAGAATTAGCTTCATTAGTCAGAATATCAGCACCCAAGCTAAGTACAAATGAAAGACTATCTGAAATAGACTCCGCAATTGTACCTGAATTAAGTGGTGATGATAACGAGAATAAATCACCGAATGATCAGAAATCCAAGTTTCAGTTAAGTAAAGTAGGACACAAGCTAACAGAGAAACCTAATGACTTGGAAGAGAAATGTCCTGATAAAAAAGACCATTTAGATGACATTACAAAGCTAACGATATCAGTGTCAACGCTACCAACCACAACTACTACAAAAATAACAAAGAAAGAGATAGAACAGGCGGTTGGCAATAAAACTTCTTCAATTATTCCGGAAATGTCGAAAATTAATTACGTTTGATTTACACCCATTTCTTTTCGAAAAACTGCAAATTTCGCATAATCCAAGAGTTTATGCTACTTTTCCATGGAAACAAAATTACCAAAATGAAGGAGAATAACAGTATCTTCTTTAATGTCAAAATATTCTTATGTATTGATTTTCACTTTCTTTCTTTACCCTCGCTGGCACTTCCATAAAACAATACTACAACCGTTATTTACCTATTCCCTCCGTCTGTGATTAGAATAGAGTAAAAGAAAAGTGAAATATGAAGGTCATGACTTTTATTTGAACTGATTTAAGCTACCAAAGTTCTATATTAGCATACACTCATCCACATTTCGTTTCGATTAGGATGTGATAATTATTACTCCAAATACCAACTGTTACCTGGTGTTTTTTCTCATCATCGTTAACGGGAAAAGGGGCGAAATAAACTATGTAAATCTGCAGTACCTTCCATTAATAGCCAGTGTGAATTTAACAGCCATTCCAAACCATGCTATACAAGGGGAAATGTGATTCGCGTTCATCACTGGAAGACCCTGGATCGAAACCAAACAGCTACTTAGTACCCTCTAACTTCTCATGATTTCAACTATTGGTGAGAATAGCCACCAAATTTACCGACGATCCCAACTTCCTTACAGTGACTATACTGAGATGAATGATGATAGATCAATTCATAATATTTTATACCACACCGACCGACAGGTTAATTAGGGAGTTAGTAGGGAAGAGTGATTATCACTGTTACTGCGGCTTTACTTGCCGTTTCTGTATCAAGCTATCAAATTCACAGTAATTATTCTGTATACAGATAGCTTATCTTGAACAGCATATTATGGCCTGATATACTTGCTTGTGCAACTGGGACTTAGGCGTTTGACTTTTAAGCGGGTGCTCGGTTCGAGTTCCACCCCACCTTCTTCAGCCTGGTTAACTGAGTGTTATCATAAAATCTCACCCAATAAGTGCGGCTTAGAACATAGTAAGTACATAAACACTGAGCCAGGGTTATAAACCTAGTCAGTTAACTAAGAATTCAAGATATACCTATCGTGTTTATTCAGACTTACTGCTTAAAAACGTAGTCAGAGTTACTCATGGCTTGCGTTGGTGAACATAGGTCACAGGTCTTTTCTCGTAGCCGGAGCTTGTGATTCGTTAGTTTAAACTGACTTCTTACGGAACATCAAAAGTAATCTTTGAACATGAGAAAGGTAATACCCTAGTTATGTGGATGTGAAAACCTACTCAAGGAGGTGGACCCCACCACGATGCATAAGATTGCTTGTTTTCAGTTTTTTGTCGACTATTCTGATGCATTCCGACGCTTATGTCCAAGTATCCTGAGTGCTGACTTGTTAAAATACGTAAAAGCCTTCCGAAGTACATTGATATGATGAAGGGTGAATGCGTCTCAGGAAATATCAGCCGTATCTCGTAAGACACCATAAAAGTGGCAAGTAAGCTTACTTGCAGCTTGAAAAGAAGTTTCCCTTAAACAGTACATGGAGTAGTTTTTGTGCAAACACTGGTTGTTCCGAACCGAGGATGACCCACTACCACTGAGATCCAGTGGCAGCAGTGAGCAAGAGTTTGAGTTCGGACAGCACATCACTTAGTAAGCAAGATCGTTGCGGAAGTTTCAGTGAATCTGACGCGTATCGCCATAGTATTAAGAAAGATTGGTCGATAATAGTTGCATTACGAGTAATCACACAGAGTCCCTAAGACCAAATAGTTGGAGGATCGAAATCGGTGGCCATGATGCCATCGTTTTCATTTTTATCTTCAGAAGTAATGAAAAACTGTTCAGCGACTATTACATGACTACTTCTCTTTTTCTGACTAGTACTACTTTTGGTATTATTCTCTCCTCCATACATTCGTAGTCATATTGTTTTGTGCAGTAAAATTTTGATGCTCAACGTATACTGAGTTTGTGTGGCTCTAGATTTGTTAAGATCCTGACCTTACTTCCTACCAGTGTGGTTATTTACTTTCCGCAGACTGCTTTCCCCAGCTATTCGCTTACGTATTTGAGGTCTGACAGGAATTTTAAACACCTTAAAGCCGCCAGTATTTTCCAAACCCCATATGAAAATTTACTAACAGCATGATTCTCACTAAATGGTCAGAAACTAAGTTTCTGAATCCTTAAACCTATTCGATTTTTTCAAGCCTTAGTGAGATATTTTGAAGTACTGAAGCACGAAACAGCGTACCGTATACATTGCAAACATAAATACACAACCACGTAAAACAATTATATATGGGCTTAATAAGAATCAACTCATTTAGTATAACGAAAAGCGGTGATCGAATACGACTAAAGCAGGGAGACGGAAGCGATGGTAGAGGAATAATTAATAATATGCGTAATCAGTAATAGCAGATACACAAAAGAATGAGAACACACAATATACCACGTACATCAATAATATATATATATATATATATATATATATATATATATATATATATATATGAACAAAGTTAAAAGATAATTATCGAAAGCATACATATATAAAAAAGGACTGAAATAGAATATCTTTTCTTGTGATACCCAAAATCAAAATAATGGTCATATATTTGATGGGACACACGTGAATGATTACAAAAACAGTTGGTCGTTAAGAATAAAACGTAAAGAAGCAATTCCTAAGTTACTTAATGTGGAATGAATAAAAACGCCAGAATAAATAATAAAAAGCCTAAAATTGAAAGTTCCGGATATTATTTATAACATCATAAAGCAATTGGGAAGCTTCCTCAATTAAGCAGTGAGTTACTGAAATACAGGAAAAGTACAGGAAAAGTAATAAGCCATCCAATGATCAAATGCAAAGGATGAGACGATTAAGGCATTAGATAAGGAAGTCACGCGCATAATCGATTTGAGAAATGCAGTGGACTTACTAAAACTACATATATTGTATTTGGAATTATTCTAGCTAAGAGCGAAACGTGATGCACGAGCCAAGCGAAAGTCATTGTTAGACACATAATAGGGCTCAAGAAAAGGATTTTGTTGAAGAACAAGAGAATGGTTGGTGGCAGATATTCAGGTGTGGTACGTCCGATGCTAGTTTGGAGCCTGAAGGATCCGAAATTATTATGTGAGATAATGGAATAGACTGATCCGTCACCACCCGACAACAGTTTTCAAAGACTGATGGCTGACCAGCAGTGCGAGAAAGAGCAACAGTTTCATGTGTGGCAGCTGGAAGAAGCATGCGACAGTTGGACCCGAAAGACAGCGATGCCTTAGGTAGTTCGATCTATATTTATGACACTGACTGGGATCCGATTGACATGCACCTGCAACAAATTCGGTATATAAGTGCACCATCAATAAAGTTGTTTAACAAAACAACAAAATCTGGGGATGAACTTTGATAAATACTGTACCCAGAAAATGATTTACTTGTATCTTAAGCTACAAGTGAAGTTTCACAAAAACTACGAATTCGGATGAAACAGTGCGTGGACTATGAAATTCTAATTTCGTTATCCGAATATGAAATTAAAGCTAAAATATAAGTATAAACCAGTAGGAGGAAATAATATCAAAATAAAGTACACGCTTGTGGCATCTTGCGTTAATTTTCATTGTATCCCACTACTCAGAGTTCACGTTAAACTGAATCACAGACTGTCAGTGATTTGATGGGAATTTCTTAAAAACCGAAGGTGCATTCTTACCTATCGAAATAATATCTCTTATCTCTTATTAAAGTTCTTCATAAGTCTTTCGTCAAAGTTACCATAGATTAAAGTTTAGGATGGATACTACAATCCTTCATTCTTATGAGAAACTTAGAAATCACTAAACATAACCCACCAACTGGTGAGAAAACAGTTTCAAACCAATAGAGTTACTTTGCCAAGACACTCGTTTCTTTATCCTACCCATTATTTTAAATTAGAGAAAAAATCTACGTAAAAGCAAGCGTTACTACTGCACTCGTTACCTTAGTGAGGCATGAATTATTGCAACATTCATAAATTACTGCTATGGTGCACGGCCAAGTAGGAAGTGCTTTAAAAATTTGCGTTGCACAACTAAACGGAACTGGAGTGGACATCACCATGGACTGTTTACATCTTACCGTACTTTAAAAGTTCATACACAGTCCAACTGTGTAAGTGCCCACCCAGTAAAACCAACTTTTGAAAGTCAAGTTATTGTTAGTAACCCTGATAGGAGTGTAGTCGTTTACTTACCATAGTGTACCACACTCCGCATTTCAACTGTTTGAATGGCTGGAGTACCGCTGGAACACCAGGCAGCACATACTCCTGTAGAACTCCACCGACATTTACACAACCAAGATGTTTAGAAAGATGGAGATACTGTGGCACGTGAGTTAGGTTTCTACTCAATTGAGTTGCTACCTTGACTAGGCGGTCGAGTTGCTTATCACTCATCATCATCATCATTATCAACATAGGACTAGGCATTACTGCATAACGGCCCGAGTTGCCACACCTCATATCAGCACATCAAGTAAAAAGGTAGTGAGGCGAAAGATGAAGATAAGTGAATGCAGTCAAAAGAAATATAAAGTACGAGAAGAAAGGAAAGAGGAGTGACAAAATGGTGAGATTCGGTAAAGCGTTGTTAAGATGAGGATAATGTGTGTATACATCTGCGCCACTGACTTCGGTTCTGATCCATATCACCTAGGGTCTCCAACCACTGGTTCCTCTTGTCCCATGGACCCCAACCACCTAGTCTGCATCGTCCTACATGGCTTAAACCAACAGTCAGAGACTTCATACATTGCTTATCACTATAATCCAATGAGCTACTTAGGTTGGAACTATTGTTCTTTGAGGTTGTAACATCTAGAAATATGTTGAGTGGTGGTAAGACTGAAAGTAGTTAACGCTATAGTACAGATACCTTGAGGGTATGATGGCAGTCCAAGGGGGTGGTTGTACAGCTGGATGAAAGTTAGACGTTTATCTTAATATACCAAACTGTTACCCATACCACTAATTTTGCTTTTCAAACTCTAATTCTAAAATCGTTACGAATATCTGTGGCTTTAACTGCGAGGCCATTAAAAAAATTTTCCTTCCCTGTCCTGAAAAGTCTAAATTTAGATAAAGTGTTAATCACTTTTACGTCTCTTTTAGCACTCCACTTTCTTCAGACCATTATCAACCGTCAGTATATTTTCTATCTACACATCGCCGTTAACAAGTTAACACAATTTTTAGTCTCTTCCATGTATGATTCACGTTCACAGAAAAGCATCCATGATCTTTTGAAACCGTGCTCCAAACTGCACTTTGAAGCTTTCAATTTCCGCAGCCTCTATCGAATCGGACAACAAGCCTTACTATGTAAAACTTCGGCATCTCAGACTCTGAACGTGTGGTGCGTTTGTAAGACATGGCCCAAATGTGATTATTGACAAACTTACTTGACCAGTATGAAGAATTGGCAAACTTCACTCTTCAAGTTTCTTTAGATTCGATGACTAGTTCTCGCCGTCTTGAAGGTGTTGGTGTTAGACGACACTATGCGACTAGATCACAGTTGAAAGTCACCTGAAAACCAGTTGAATGGTACAGTAAGAACTAGAAAAATGGTGAAACCAACCGTTGTCTCATTGTAATCTCTGCTTACGCACCCACTGACTAGAATTCAGATGAAGTGAAAGACGAATTCTACCGGAAACTTTCTAGCCACCGACAGAAAGTCAAATACAGATGTCCTGGCCGTAGCACGTGATCTCAACGCATGGATGCGTGGGTTCTCATGATCATTATCAAGATCAACATAGGGTCAAGCATTACCGTGTAACGGTCCAAGTCGCCATATCATCAGGTAACAAGACAATAAAATGGAAGAAGAAATAAAGAAAAACCGGTCAGCAGGAGTAGAAGTAGTAAAAGAGAGCAATGGAAAGATGATCTGAAGCCATTTCATGTCTTCTATCACTAATGGCCATGTTTCACAGTCATACAGTAAAACAGAAGGAATGTAGCGCAGTACACTCGGCACAATAGATATCGAATACTGCGGCGGTGCCACAGATGGCGTAAGTTACCAAAGGTCAACCGAGTCTTTTGTATCCATGCAGAGATTTCGCCGGCTATTGAGCCACCGGGCTGATCTAACTTCCCAAGTAAGTGAAGTGTTCAACGCACTTAACCACTTTACTCTTCACTGTTAGTTGGGCACCTCTGAAGATCAGTCTTGTAGCAACAATTTGCATTTGGGTGGCAGGAACGCATTCCAAACATCTTCAAATTGCCACTCAAAGTATCCAGAAGACACTGAACCTTGTCATCGTCTTCGCGTAACACGATCATGTCATTTGCGTATTCTAGGTCTACTAAAAATCCTCCTGCGATTAGGTCAATCTCTGTGTAGTCAGATGTCAAGAGGGAGACCTCCATAAGAACATCCATGACAGAATTGAATAAGAATGGGGAGTAGACATCCTTGACGGACACCACTCAACGTACACAGCTTCCCCGACATCTCACCATTAGCTCTAAAACTCCCACAATGTTCGAGTGAAGAGCTATCAATGAGGCGACTAACTTACTTGGTACTCGTTTTAGTGAGAGATATTGCATAAAACTTCTTGATCGACGAATTCGAATGCCACCTTCGAGCGGAGAGATACAGGTATTGTCGGGCGTGTGTAAGGCGTCTGTATTCCAGAACTTGACGGAGTGTGAATATTTGGTCGATACACCCACGGCCAGGTTTGAAGCCTGTCCGGTTTTCTCGGGCTTGTTGTTCTCCAACTCCACTCAGGCGTCTAATGATTATATAACCTGGAATCTTAGACATTATGTTCATCAGGCTGATTCCTCTGAGGTGATCACAAGAAGACTTATCATCTTTCTTGAAGACTGGGATAATCAGTGATTGAGACCAGTCACAAGGGACCATACACTAGTTAACACGTAGGTTAACTTGACTAAAAGCACTCCAATACGGTCACTATATACCTCAGGAACTAGTCCATTGTTGACCTTATCCCATCAGTTTCCTTAATAGTGTTATCCCGGTGGGAACACCACTCACTGGGAGGCAAGTACATCCGGCTGACGAGTCCTAAATAGGACAAAATGCGCATCCTGGATTCACCGCTAGCTCCTATCCACCTTTACTATAGTTTCCTTAATAAGTCTAAATAATTGTCTACTGTTACTATAGCCACTGCCTTTTCTATCTCTAGCCTTCGATGCCCACTACTGTTCTTGGTCGTTGAGTAGACATTTTGTCAGTCTACATTTGAGTTGCGTCCACTCTTCATTGTACTTGGGGCCTGCAGAAATGCGTTCGCGAGATATCAATTCAGAAGCTTCTGATATCCACTGGCTTTTTCTAACCACCCTCAGTCATGGTTTTCAACGATGTTTTCACAGCAGACTTAGATAGGACCAAGCTTCTTCTAGACAAGTGTTCTGTTCCGATAACGGCTTGGCCAGTTTTTCACTGAAAGCGACTTAGTATTCTCGTTGCGAACTGCACTCGTAATGATCTTGATGCTGAGGTTTTTTTACGTCCATTGAGGCGCAGACATGTACGCGCTTTAGCCAACGGGTGGTCTCTATCCAAACAGTGCTCTGGAAACAGCAGCAGTCTTTCACCGACCCTCTCCATCGATGACTGATAGCATTGTGGTCTGCCTATGTCTACTGATGAGTAGCGCTCATAGGACGCATCAGATAATGTCTTTAATCATGTCTGAAGTTTGTGCTAGCTAGAAAGAAACGGTTATCTGAGCAAAGTTGTAGTAGAAGATTACCGTTATCTGTTCGTTCAGCCGAGACTCCGACAGTGCCGCTAAAGTGCGTTTCTGCATCACTTAGCCTACCCACTTTTGTATTAAAATCACTTACAGCAACAACCACGTCTGAACGTTTGGCTTTCGAAAGGAGGCTAGACAGTTTTTGCTAGGACTCATCCTTTACTTCATCGGAACCGCAGTCAGTGGGTGCGTAAGCAGAGATTACAAAATGAAAACGGGGAGTTTCACTATTCCTTTACTTCTCACTGTGCCGTTCAGCCGAGCAGCTACGACAGACAGAAAGACACTTGGATGAGACTTTAGGAAATCCAACTGAATCGATTAATAATGGCTGTTGCCTACTACAAATGCGCTCAGAAAACCACCTTTTCATGCCCAGCACAATCTATGGTATCCTCCAACTTCAACTTAATGGTAGACACAGATACACATATTGAGGTCCGTTACCACTCCAGACAATCAGTAAAAGACTGGCACTGCTTTTAAGTGCTTCCAGGTGTTTAGCCAGTGACCGTGCACTGATTACAGCATGCCGATGTCTACACCTAAATAGGTGCGGAAATACCTAATTGCAAGTACAGTGCCATGACGCGACTGTCACTATTGCTTTCAAAGAGGAATTGAACAGACAATAATCGGGAGAGGACAATCACTAATCTCGAAGAGGACTGGCGCTGTTGTCTCCAGTCTGCTGCAAAAACAGCGTTGAAGATCACAACTGACCCACAGGAAAAGGTTAAAGTGATCTGGTAGATATCAGAATATTCCATTGAAATAATGAATATATGTCAACTCATTCATGCAAGCTAGGGATACAATGGGAAGCTGCAGAAACCTAAATGTAAACTGGCAACGATAACAAACAGCCGAAATCAACAAAGTTGAAAGAAATGGAAGATGTAGAGGTGATGGGTAGCAGCAGAGTTACTTAGACTAATCAAGAAAACTGTGGCAAAAAGTCAATGGTTAGTGAGGCGATCGAGGAAAAGGATGGGCAGGCGATTTACTCGCAGGGAAGACAGTTGCAACTATGTGAGGAATACTATGTGAGACAGCTGGACTGGCTTCCAGCTACTCCTCGATTGTCCGCTACCCAATCAGATTGCAACGATAAACTGAGATATACCACTCAACTCTTGCAGAAGCATACAAGGTCGTAGATGACCAGAAGTAAAGAAGAGTAGCAAGTCCCGATACAGTTACACCGAAGGTAATTTTAAGGACAGTGGTCGAGGATTACTAGTTAGACTGACTGAAATAATAGCTGGCGTATGAAAATCAGTTACGATACCCTACAGCTGATCTGAATCTCCGATTGTCCCAGTCTTCAAGAAAGGAGAGAAATTCTCGTGTGGTAACCACAACAGAATCGGTCTGACAAGTCTTGAAGAGTCTAGACGCCTTAATGAAGCTCGACAGCGACAAACCCGGGGAAAAAAACCAAACTTCAGACCTGGTTATGTGTATCGACAGAATATTCAGAGTAAAAGCACACTTACCCATATCCAACACTAATTGTTTCTTGGTCTGAAGACAGCATTTAGCTGCGTCGACTGAGAGGCCTTATCGCAATGTCACTTACTGAAACGAAAGGCTAGTTTAAGTGAATCGCATCGATGAGGTATCAGGTGAGTTGTATGTCTCGAGCAGTGCTAATTAGGCTTGCCTACTCTCTTCGTCACCACTTAATTTTGTCGTTAACATGCCTATGGAGGTTTTTCACTGATCCGCTGACTACGAAAATTCACCCAGTCACAAGAGACTTCTCAGAAGACCTAGAGTACGCAGATGATATGGTCCTGTTAGATGAAGCCGCTGACAAGATGCAGTCTTCGCGAAATAGCAATCCAGTAATGTAGCGACTTGTGAATGGTTGAGATACTTTTCTCACCTAAATGCAAATTGCTGCGCTAGGACTAGTTGGCGTTGGCGTCTTGCCTAGAAACAGACAACTGTGGGTTCCTGACTATCGAAATTTCTGCAGATATAAAAAAGCACTCTTGGCTTTTATCAACTAATGCAGTCCGTGGCACCCAGCGTGACTACCAATTGAGAGTCGGGCCTACTGTGCTGCGGTTTCTTTTGTCGCTTTCGCTGAACGTTGTTCTCAGACTAGTGAAGAGTGAATATATATGCACCATTGCGACTGGTTTTCAGCCATTTCTCCAGAAGTCCTCAACCACTGATACATTTCGTCTCGAGGACCCCAGCGAGGCAGTCTACATCACCCCACACAACTCAGACCAACAGTAAGAGACTTCATCGACCGGTGCCACGTCTTAGTCTGGCCACCCTGAACCCTCTTCCAACCTAGTCCAACCTCCACTAGCATAGCATGTCAAGGCAGGCAATGGCTCAGCGTGCGCAAGTCATCTAAGTCGACTGTGGTTCACAACCACATCAATCGACTTGCCTGTCTTGACTAGTACCCTTCGCCTGACAGACCTTAACATTACTTACAAGGTGATTCTACCAAACGCGAGAAATGTTACGAAGACATATGTGATCAAAACCCTATAATTATGCCATTTACTTTTAACGGCTATATCTCACAGCCATACAACACGACAAAACGGACTGCAGCGTAGTACACCCATTCTTTGATAGTAAGTTGGATATCTTGCCGGCGCCAAACGCGGCACAAATTGGAAAATCCCAAACGGCCTTCTGTATCCCAGCTGAGATTTCGTCAGCAAGCACTCTTAGGGCTAATGCAAATCCCCAAGTAAGTGAAGTGGTTAACACACCACTAATTTACTCACTACCATTAAACTGTGAGTAATTGCAGCAGACCAGTGCTGGAGCATCATCTTACATCTGACAGGGTTAAAATGGATGCCAAACATGCTCAGATTTTTGGTCAAAGTATTCAGAAAATCCTGCATTTTTTCAGCGTCTTTACCTAGCGGGACAGTATCATTTGCATACTCCAAGTCAACCAGATGACCTTCGGGGAGTAGTACGTTTAATACGATAGTGTCGTGTTTGAAATCCCTTCTGAAAATCAAGAACAGTAGCCAGACATTACGCGATACACTGTCAATAAACTGCTGTTAACACCCACGAAATGAAGTTTTTCGGCACCTGTATACTATTAGCAATAACAATCAGCACATCGATATACCACCCAGGTTATAGAATTCACTCAGATCAGTGCATGAATAAGTCTACCACATTGATAGACGTAAGTGATTGGAAAAACCAGTGTTGCTGGTAGGAATTTTTCTATCCATTGAAAGAGAGAATACGAAAATACCCTAGAGCTTTACTAAACAGTTTGCATGCATTGTACCGGGGTGATAGCGAGTTGAACAACCACTAGAATATTCATGAACAAATTTAATGTTTGGGTTGCATCAAGAACTAAATAGCAGAATAATCAAAACCCTATCATCTTATGGACAAAATAACTATTTCATCCAAGTACTCCTGCTAGACAGTGAAACAATGAACGAGGTCAGTTTCCAAAGAAGCGAGATTGTCCGAAGTACACTTGTGTCAAGTGAACAGAAAAGAGATAACAGTGATCACCAATGAGACTTGGGTCGTTTGGAATATACAAGCAACCGCTTCCCTTTTCTGAAACTATCTAAAACAATTATCAGTCAGACCTTAATTTGGAAATATGAAGTCTGTTTAGCTTAATTGCAGTAAAGTACCACTTTATTTCGGTAATATATAACATACCAATCAAAAGTGTTTTCAGTCCCGAGGTAGGCTAAAAGAAAGGGTGATCAATGTATGATGTGATGGAGTGGGATGAAGGATAGTTTTCGGGTTAAGACCTGTTGATGTCCCAAAACTCTAAATTTACTGACATCTCACTAGACGGAAAATGAACTTACAATCTCGCCGACAAGTGCATCGCTTAAAGTTGCTACATTCCACAGCTAGATGCAAAAGGATGTGTATGTTCAAAGACTGATATCAAAGTAGACGCAAGTATATTGGAGAAGGAATTTGAAAACCAAGGTTAGTGAAAATAGTAAAGTCCTAGAAGACCACATTAAGATTGCAGCCACCGGTCAGGAAATCACGAAATTCAATGGCTCAAGAAGACATCAGATACGATGCATAGTGGAAAGTAGAAGCGCTCACACTGTTCTCCTGTTTCTAGTCATAAAAACGTACCTCATGACTGCACCATCGCCAGGAAAACACCACATTTTTCGACAAACGGGAAATTAAAAGAATATTCGGCTATCTTAAAGGACTATTCAAAGTGGTCGAAGCATCGTAAACAGGGGTAACAACTTAACAAGTACACACTGTGACCACAAGAGGTGATAAAAACTGTTATGTTAACTATACCTACATCCTTCTACATAAATTAAATGCAAACAAAGACTAACTTACATGAGTAAACAGAATAAGGATACATTTTTAGACTTGAATTACCCGAATTGGTAGTCACCGTACATGGCACGACGTTATGTTTACCGATGAATGCAGGGGATGCCTGTGACCAGTCAGGAGTTTTCACATTAGCTAAAAGACAAGTATCCTGAGCGATTTTCCGACCATACTGAAGCTTTACATATTCGCGATCTGAGATGCAAGGACTGGTGAATCCATCCAGTTGCCGACGCATGACCGCAGACTAACAATATATGAAGCCAATATGAATATAAGAGTTGTGGATAAGGATAAGGGGTGATAATAACTGGGATCAATGCATAGTCCAAAGAAAAAATGAATATTGCACATCCGCGCCCCTCACCAAGTGGAGCGGGTTAGCGTTTGCGATGTTCAATAACCAATCCAATTCCAATCCCTTTCTTCAAAAATGTCGGCCTTCTGATACAGTATCTAAAACGGAGTTCCACGATACTGTCACTATCAAGCCATTAATATTATTTCACCGGAACGATTCCTTTGATGAACGATCGTCTAGTCTGCAGTCTGGCTATGCCTTTCCTAAAATAATCCAAACAGAGCAAGCTGAGTTCCCGCATAGAGCATAAAGAACGTTTTATCTAGCTGTCCAACAACTATTTTTGCCGTTCCTTCCCCTATATCCCAGAGAACACTTGACACCCACTTCAGAATAGATAGGGGCACTGTATTAAGCTCACTTGAGCATGGTTTAGTAAGGGTTTTGAAGAAAATGAGTGATAATATTGGAGTAAGGTCACCAACTCCCATTACAAAACATTTCCATGACGTGGTTCGACGTCGTTCCTTTTGAGCTGGCGTCGGGTACATCAGTGACGTTAAATCCTTGGTCCTTTTTCTTGGACAAGTTGATGTTGTTATCTGCAGCTTAGCAAGTTTTTACTGCTTCAGGTGTTCAAAGTCTCATTACCCTGCACTTCCACATTTTGAAGCTCAGGCCGTTTGTATCATTTCGGGGCTCCAGCTCTATAGATGACATCATGATATTGCGCTCGGTAATGCAGTCTAGCATTCTGACTTTTTACAATGGGGGATTTCAACACATCTACTGGCATTGTTTAGGTCCTCATTCACAATTTTGCCTGCTTGCAGCAATTTTTCGCCAAACGACATCGGACTCTGATGTCTCAGTATCAGGAGGTCGAGAGGTAATCATACCTTGATACGTTTCAATCCGGTCCCCAACCGCTTTCCTCCTAAGCCTTTTCTGGTGATCATGGCATCAGATGTGAGGGGTGAAATTTCTTCCTTCCACTTCGAAATCGAGTTTTGGTTTGTGGACTTCGCTATCCATAACTGCCAGGGCAGCAGCAACAATCAGGACGATCACCAGCTCGTTGTGTTTAAAGTGCCTGTTGTAGGTATGTGTACGAACTCCGGTATGCTTAGTGTGCTTGACGAGGGAAGCAACAAAATGAGGAGTCTCGCAGCTGAATTAATGTAGCCTCTTTGGGTTGTGAACTAACCCTTCACCTTTTGTGGGCCCTTGGCCTCTCCAAAACAGTGTCGTTTTAGGTCACGCATTCAATGATATGAGACACCCAAGAAGCACTCGTCTTTAAAATAAACCCCTAGTCTACATAAAGAACTGAGTTTGTCCATTTCATTTCTGGGTTTGCTGGTTTTTCTGTACGTGTACGTCAGCGCTGTAGACACCAAAATTGAATTTTCCACTTACAGGTTTCCCCCATTCTTGTGGAACTGGTAACGACTGTTTTTCAGATGACCACTGAAACATCTAGTTAGTTCAGTCTAAATTTCGTTTGGGTCAGATTCGGTTTCTTGTCCTCTGGTTATGGTCACAGACCATTTCGTCCTTCATGACTGTCTCTGTTTTCTCGTCTGATGAATATAGGCTCGTGAGGAGTTGGATTTCTCTGTTATTTTGCATTACTGACCGGCAGGATGCCTGGTTTGACTTTCGTCACGAACTTTCGTCCAAACTTCTGCGGAGTGTAGTTCACAGGTTGTAAATTTTCCGACTGGTGTTATTCTGCCTACAACCAAGGTGTTGGTTTTAAACGAATCCTTAAATGCTCCATTCTTCGCCCATATTTTGACAGAAACGCTTCATGTTATGTGGTTTTTATGTAGCATGTCCTGTTGAGATATGGGGGGGTAGCCCCAATGTGTCTTCAGAGGACTATGTGGGGCTCAAGAATGCTCCAAGGGGTATTGATGAACCCAGACTACATCACAGGCACGTTGTAGCAGATATATTTCTAAAGGGAAAACAATAAAACCCCAAGCCCGAAACGGTATTCATTCAGAGTAATCCTGTCATGCACCCACCTTCTCTAACAGCTTTCATAGATTTTCTGACACTGAAAAGGATAATAAGTTCTAATCCCTCGCCCTCGGTTTTTCGACAGGCTTTTTGTTTGTCTTGTCATGCGTTTGGATTCGTAGTTATCATTCTGTCCGCAAACTGGATCCTGATCATGTCGTTCTTCGATGAACACTTTTCGATGTTTGGTGACTGCCTCTCCAGAGAGAATAGCCTTATCAGGGATGGAGTGGTTTTGACAACAATGTTCCTCGCGTCCACACTAACTTCGCCCATACTAGCTGCGGAACACTATGATCTCTGGTTGCCATTAATTCCATTTGGCACCTTAAGATCTTTCTCAGGTGGGTAACTTGTGGCCAGGAGGAGCATTGGCAACTGCCGGGGTTTAGAAATTTCTCCGAGTTGCCGTGAGTTGAAAGGGTAGCTGAAACGACTCGGCCTCTTATTCCTAGAGTCATAAAATTGTGGAGCAGTACGTGGATTGCACTGGTGCTGAGAAACTCTCCAACACTTAAAACAAATCAACGATACGGAATGCTAATGCGATCGCCTTGCAGTCAGCGGTGTTTTGGTAAATAAAACCAATTTGTTCAGACTTTCTCTGAATTCGGCGAAGTGTGATGGGGTGACTACGAAGACTGCTTGAGGTGCCTGCAAATTAATCATTATAAAGCCGTTTTTCACCGGTGCATATTCCGGTGAATACGGACAGTGTGCTGGCATGAGTTCCTGATATGGTTTGGACGTTCGCACTCGAACCAACTTATTATTATGTCTACAAATCTGTGCTTTTTCTTCACTACTCTTTTGAAGTGAAGTCGGACAAGTCATTGTACAGAATTCGCAATCAGGCTGTGGGAAGCTGCGGGGACCTGGCAATTTGTGGTTGAAATGCCTGGAAAATTATGAATTGGCTATGACTTTCAAAGTAGTACAAAATGTATTTTGTCACAGCAAAGGTTTAAGTCGTTAAGCACTGAGACCGCAAGATCTCTTCCGTCTGACAGCTCCCTTAGCCCTTCGTTCTTGAGTCGGTCTGCACCAATTCTGATAAGGCAGATGAGCTGCCTGAAAACTTTGTGAGGTCAGTCTACTGTGGTCTATCAAGCATTGAGGCCTGCTTGAATCATCTTGCAGAGAGAGATGATTGCCTCCATTTTTATTTCGCTACACAGCTCTACATCATTAGGTAAGATAAGAATTTCAGACGACACTTGCGAAAGAGAACCGTTTACATAAATTAGAAACAGGGGGCCTCTATGCCTCGAAATGAGGGAAAGATATTTCGTTTCCTTTAGTACGACAGAACTCATCTAAGTATCAAGGGGTCAACGTGCACTTAGAGGTAGCTAAGGGTAAGATCCTACGAGCTTGTCAAAAGAGCTTCAACACAAATACGCACTACCAAGCAACGTAAACCACTGCCTTGGAATAAAAGGCTCTTAACTCACTTCGATGGTCACAACTCGGATTTTAATGGCGAGTATCATGCTACCACTTATCGCTTCAATGTACCGACGAACCGCAACTTGCCACCACCTGGCTCCAGAACTAATCCTGCGGAGTCTAATCATCCCTACCAGAACAAGGGACCGAGGTGCAAACCATCTGATCATGACCCTAGGACTAGGTACATCACCCCACCTGCCAACTACATTAACATCCTGGACCTCGTGATTTTTTGGATCACCAAACGTTATGTACGACCTTCGGTATCCAGCTCACAATTCACAGGTCCGAGGTTGGAATCGTTCAAACCGGCACCCACAGACAACAAACTTCAACACGCGATATCAGTAGGGAGGAAAGACATATTGATAGGCTAGCTGTCCCATCCGAGAGACTTAGATGTCGCAGATCCACCCACTGTCTTATCAGCACAAACCAATGGGAGTTTCAGTTCGCTTAGAACACACACCACACATCACTTATAGGCACACTACATGGAAGTGAACGAAGTGAGATAGATATAACCGATATTGTTGGTAAGTTCATTAGTCATAGAAACCTATTCGCATTGTCTCATTAACGCACGCTCCCTACCTAAGAAGGTATCTACTCTTAGAACAACGGTTCTGATCACTAAACCAGCGATAATACTTGCAACTGAATCATGGTGTTCACCTTGCATCCTGAATTCAGACTTATCCATAGATGGATACACTCTCCATCCCGCTAATTGAGATCAAAGTCGTAGGGGTGGTTGTCCCATTTTTATATGTGGCCAAGTTACTGCAAATAAGGTTGGAGGAAACATACTAAATGCAGTGCCTGACTCACTGTGGGTCACCTTACATAGTGAAAAATACGAAACGCTCTTAGGTTGCGCATATCGAGCACCATGCTCAACAGTGGAAATGGATAAACTCATAGCTAAATCATTTGACCACGCTTCCTCATATAGTGCCAATTTTAGATTGGTTGCTGGTGATTTGAATCCTCCCGAAATTAACTGGATAGCTGGTCGTTGTCCGCAGCGCTTTGCTGAGGTACTTTCTGTGACAGATCTCTATGGTTGGAGGCAACATGTCCACGCACCTGCTTGCGGTGACATGTTGAACTTATTAGTTTTATACAACATCACCCCAGAAACTAACTATGTTAGCGGCGAATTCTCCAATAGCGATCACACGACGGTAATCTGTTGTCTACCTGTCGGAACACGAAATGCGGGTGGTAAGCAGGCTTTACGAGTTATTGAACATTGCAGCTGTGAGGGTTACGGACTGGGAACTGCTCCCCACGGGACAACTATTTTATCAGATTCACTAACAACCACGGTACCCCTTTTCAATGGGAATGTTATGTCGTGTATGGATACCGCTGCTCCTGTGAAAACAGTGAAACTATATCGCCACTTAGAGTACATCCCACCCATGTGCCGCAGATAGTTCAGGCGACTGTCG